CACTTTGTCCTTCCAGCTACCAGCTGTCTTATGGGAGAAGGAAGATCCATAACTTGAGAAGTTGCTCAGTGGAGTTATTGACAACTTAGCCATAGCTGAGGGAAGATTAGAGCACTCGAAGTTTCATGACAGATGACATTAATTTTCAGAACATTTCATTGTATCCAGGAATTTAAAGGCAATCTGTTCATGTACCTTGCATAGTCCTACAAGGCAAGTTCTGTCTTTATGGGGAAATTTGGGGTTTTAAACAGTGAAATTGTACTAGGATGGAGTTTACTAAATTCTGTTTTAATTAGTGAAGTCTGCAAGTTGTTTTGCTTTTGTGAGTTGTCAGATTTATGTTAATTGTAAAAAGTCAGAGGGGATCTTTTAAAAATCCTGGGCCGACAGAAGTAAAGCAGATACATGTTCTCTTTACCACATTCTAGCATCACGATACTGGAACCCCTCACTTTAGAAGTGCTACCCTAAAGTAGCCTCGAGAGGCTTTGTATTTCTTCCACTAGCAATAGCAAATCCAGCTTCTAATACTTCGGCTTCAGTCAAAGGCTCGGTTGTTTCCTTGATGCAGAATGACAACCCAAGTTCTTAAAATGTATTGATCAGATTTCCTGGGAGTTTTGTTTAACCAGCAACATTAGAAACCTTTACTGTTGGTACTAAATGTCATGAAGAGAGGCATCTTGTTTTATCAATATCTTGCTGTAACAGTATTGACTGTTCAGTTTGAACAACCAAAACCTGAGACTGGAAACAATTTTTTCTTTTATCCCACATATATACATCAAGTCATTTAATACATTATTACTGGGATTGGATTATCCTTGCTTATTATAAGAGTCAAAGTGACTGCAGTTCTGGAAAGCTTCTTTGACAATGAGGACAGGCAAAGGTGCAGGAATGGACCATGGCTAGGTTCTCTGCAGATTTAAGTCAGGACAGTTTCATAGGCTTAAGTCTAAAATCATAACAACTTAATTTCCTCAGGTACTGCATATAATCAGATATGGTGAGATGGCAGGATCTCCCCGTTTTCTAATGCTGGTATATTCAAATTAACATAAAGCTTGAGTATTCTTACTGTTGATGAGTTCAATTTACATTAAACCAAATTAAATAGCAACAAAATGCAAAAAGAACATCACTGTTGGAAAATTATACTTCTCTTACGAAGTGGTGAGCCTCCTGAGCTGAACACTAGGTCTTTGGCCAATCCATTGTAGCTTTGTTGATCTCTGTGCTGTCAAACCATTTTCTGCTAGTACTCTGTCTGGTCCAGATGCATCATGACAGATCTTACAGGAACAGTGACAGTCACCAAACAGATTCAAGTTGTTCCTCTTGAAAATAATTTTGTAGCTTCTTGGCTATTCTAATTGTCATCTTCTCATGAGATGAATACTTCAGAGCAGAATACCCCATCTTTTGCTTACCATATGTCTTTCAGAAATTGGTATATTTCAGACTGTTTATTGAAGAGTTTTTGATATCTTGGGGCATTTAAGGGGATTGCAGTCTTGAATGATAAGTTTCATGGATGATAGCTTAAAAATCTTTAGATGAAAAATCTTTTCATTTACCAAAACTAGATTATGAAACTTATCCCAGAGACTTAAGAGGTCAGCAGACTTAAGAGAAGGGTGATTCAAATTTGTTATAATAGATAGGAATCACCCCAAGCTTGGATTTCATGGAGAACCGGGACATGTGTGTTTCAGAACTGAACCAAACTTTCAGCTCTTGGTAGACTTAGAAAACTGTCCTAATGCTGTTTACCGCAGTTTTTCCTTCAAAGCATGTAACATGTAGGCATTACAGGAGCCCTGCATTTGTGTGACCTTTAATCAACTACAGCTTCACTGTAGCATGGGCTTTGTTACTTTTGATATGTTTTGTAAAGACATAGTGTATTTTTGTTGTGGTACTGACTCACACTTTGAATGTATTGGGTGATTTTAGGTATTTGGTTATCAGATTATGCATATTCTACAAATGCAATTCTACAAGTGGTTATGCATGTAAAGTCAGTTGAAATAATGAACAGTATGAAGGAAAGGGAAATGAGTTAAGAACAGAACAAGGGGCCAAAGAACCACTTCAAAATAAGTACTTGGGTTTGGTTTTTTTAATTACTATTATTATCATTTAGCTTTTGTAACAAAACACTATTACTTGTTCATTACCTTTTTCCAGTATTCCCTCTGACCTCCTAGATCTGCAAATAACCAAAAAAATATTAATTTAGGCAGCTAAAATGCAACTTTTTAAATTTCTCTGTTAGATCCTTCAGGCATACCCTGTGGCTCAACCTTTTGTCTGAAGGTCAAGAGAGTTTTATTCATCTGACATGAGTAGCTTAAGTGTGGCATTTATAACTTGAGTAATGTTATGGATGATAACACCATTAGACATTTTTACAGCTTCAGCAGGAGTTCAGCCAGCAGGGCTATCAGCCTGATAAATGCTTTCATTTTAAAGGTTGTATTGCTACAATAACCCCAAATCTTAGCTGCTTCTTGCAACCTACAACCTGACTAAAGAGATGAAGGGTACCCTCTGACATTTCTGGGTTGCTAAAGATCTCTGAGGTTCCAGTGAAGAATTAAGATACTGACATGCAGCTGTTCTGATCTGAATTGGAAATTACTGAGGACTTCATAATTTTGAATGATTTGGGGGCATAGCTACTCAAAAGAATTAGCTTTAGATTGAGATGGGACTGAACTCTGGGTGATGAGTGCAAGCATTCGTACCCAATTATAAAATGATTCTACTGGATTTTAGGAAGCACTAAAATTGCTACTATTGTCAGAAACAACAGAGAGTTTCACCTCCTCTGTCTAGGTATTTGAAGTTATAAAACTTCTAGGAAACTGGTAACAAACTAATCTATAGAGTAGAATGAAAGTGGTGTGAAAAGCTAGTAGGATTTTGACTTTGTAGAAGTTTATTTTGTAGAGATCTGAAGGAGAGTGGCTGTGTTTTGAAAGTAAATAGTGAAAGTGGCTGTGCACTGATTATACACGTGAGAACAGTTGAAATAATGAACAGTGTGAAAGGAGATGAGATGATATAAGTGAAAGAAGAATAAAGAATCATGAAAGAAAGTGGTGTGAGATGAACAAAGCTGGAGTTCTTGCTTTTATATCTAAGAATAGTAATCTGAGGCTTGTAGCAAACTTTAGCTGCTGTTTTAACCCAGCAACTGTTTAACACAAGAATATTCATAACATGTAATGATTATAGTTAAGGCATCCAGATACTGATTTTTCAATACTTTTGATAATGTGAAACAACTCCATTGTTTTTCTTAAGATTTCAATGACTTCACTGGAGTTCTTTTGTTAAATTGCCATTCTAGTTTACAACCTTCATTGATCATTATATTGATCACTGAAGAAATTTTAGTACCTGTTTTTTATTGACTAAGACTTAAGAAGCCACGCTCGCTTTCTGAAACATCCAAAAGTGCAACCATGACAATTGCTTCCTAGGAGAGGGCTGTTGTACAAGTCTGATACAATACACACTTTGAATGCTGCAAGTCTGACACTACACCTCAGAAGGAAGATGGAAAAGAAGACCTCTGACAGCAGAGGACAGCAAGGGTGATTGCAGTCTTTGAACAACAATTGTACCGGGAGATCCTAAGTAGGCTATGATTCTTCAGCTTGGAAAAGAGATGACTAGCAGATTAGATAATAGAGGTCTATAAAATTGTGACTGATGTTGAGAATGTAAGTAGGGAACAATTATTCTGTATTTCTTTTAGTATTAAGAGCTAAAGGTTACCAACTGAAATTATCAATTATCAAAGAAGAGGGAATATTTTTTGCTGAAAGCTACATGTTTGTGTAGGGGAGATGCCTGCTCAGTGCGTCCTGTTCTTTTACTCTTCACCAAACACTTGACCACTCTTAAAGGTAAGATACAAGGCTAGGTGAATTTTTGATCTGAGCATATAATTGTTAGTAACTTAAATTTACAAGTATTGGAAGTAGGTGGCAGACTGAAGAGCAAGTATAAGATAGGCCTTCCTTTTAGCTGCATTTTTAATGCTGACCAGATTTCAAATTGATGAGTGCCTTTAAACTTGCTTTAAAATGTATTCACCTCTTACGGAATTACATGATAGCAGCAATGGCCTTGGCTAATGCATTTATAGTTTTAAGATTTATTCATCCTTATTTCCTGATGGTTTACTAAAATTCATCAAATATGCAGGATCTTAACTTGCTTGAAGCCTTAAAACGGAAAATGCTTATAAAAAAAGAAATTACAGGTTCCAGTCAGACTGACCTCAGTCTGTGCACAATGGCTATGGAGTTGTTTAGGGGCGAGAAAAAAACTCGGGTTATCCATTTTGTTTTTGAAATGGTCGGTGGAAGCTCTTCTTCATCTCCCTGAATGTGTAGCACATTGCCTTCCTCTTGGACTGATCATACTGCTTTTGCCTCTGTTTTGCCACCTGCTCTCAGCTTGTCAACTGAATAACCTGTCTTTCTCTATTCAGTTTTCTATTTCTTACAAGCTGTTTGAAATCTCTGCAAAGACCTCACTTTTGTCAGCAGTGCCTTTTCTTTTGATACTGTTATGACTGATGCATACTTTGGTTTCTTCCACCAATTTTAGATGTTTCTATATAATCCAAGAATACTGCAGAATCTGTGGTAGCCCTTCTACCTGCTCACTTTAGTTGTAGTAATGGCCAAGTTCAAATAAAATGTAATGTCTCATATTAAAGTGAACAAAACGCACCCACCACAAGACATTACTTGCTCACAGATTTTTATGATCTTAGCTCTAGACTCTGCTGCTTTAACTTCATTTTTTACAAAAATCTTTTGTTGCAATGTCCTATTCTGGCACCATTTCACATCCCTGACTGCTTTGCCTTCAATTAATTTCCAGCATAGCTAGTTAACTATAAGATGCATTTGAAGGAGAGTTCGGTGGCTGACATTTGGCAAGACTAAGGCCTGTTCTGTTATTTCCAGGTACTGTTTGGCACTGCTGATGGACAGGTTATCGTCATGGACTGTCATGGCCGAATGCTGGCCCATGTACTCCTTCATGAGTCAGATGGCATCCTCAACATGTCCTGGAACTACCCCAGCTTCCTGGTGGAGGACAGCAGCGAGAGTGACACGGACTCTGATGACTATTCCCCACCACAAGGTAGTGTTATGTGCATGTCCTTCTGTTTCAGCTTTGCAAGTGCTCACGAAGATATCTTAAATACAGGGAGTTCTCATGCTGTTCAAAAACAGCAGGATGGGCACAGTTTCAAGCTCTGGTAGAGCAGAGAGCTGGTATGGGAGAGTGGGTTTGTTCCCAGCTCTGCCACCAGCCTGGCTGCAGGTCGTACCTCATCTGTGCTGCTCTGCCTCTGCACAAATGAGATAACAGCACAAAGCTCAAAGTTTTCAGTGAGGGTGAGTGAAAAACACCAGATAGGGACATGTCAGGTTTCACTGATAAGCAGGTATGAGGTATTGCAATGGTTCGTATGTATGCAGGTAGTCAGAGTGCAGTCACAGAAGTTAATGTGTTACTATATAGGTTCACATGAAAAGACACCAGTACTAGACATAGTGTGAAGTACTATATATGTAATTTTATCTCTGTTTTGTAGGATTTCTGTAAGGCTCATTATTTCGGTCCCATCTCTGATAGTCCTGACATAAAGAGTTCAATAAGTACTATAGAAGGCTCGAAAATGAAGATATTACCTGCAATTATGTGGGGTAGAAGCAGGATGACTAAAGCTGTCTGGAGTTACTAATTCACGTGCTTCAGAGCAGATTGCCAGTTTGAGGGTCAGGAAGAAATCCTTCCCTCTCCTGAAGTCTCAATACAACTCATTTGGTGAAATGCTTTGTTTTTAAACTGTAAAAATCATCAGTAGCAAAAACGTATAAGGCCTAAGTGTCCATGCACAGTCAGTCCCATTCTTCTTATTTAAGTAATACTAATACTTCCTATTGATGTGGTTGCTTAGTTTATAATCAATGGATAAATAATGAAAGAAATAGTCTGATCATCTGGTAAAATGTTAGCATATTTTAAAATTGGGTTTCATTTTGGCTTTCGTTCCTCACTTTTGGTACTGGGTGAGATATCTTAGAAGAAAAGAAACAAACTTCAACATAGCAAGCTTCTAAAACAAGACAGACAACAACATTGAATTGGTTTTTTGCTGTTTTTGTTTTTAAATACTGAGGTTCCAGTTGGAGGATGGTGAAGCTGCAGAATACACAGATGAGAACTTAAATGATCTGAATGTGTTAGCTTTTTCTGAGTCAGTCAGGGGGTGGGTGAACTCGTTACAAGCCTACAAGCCTATTTTAATGATTACCCAAACATGATGTGTTTTCTTGAGAGCAGATGCAGCATAAATCTCTCAAAGGTGATGAGCCTTTGACTCACACAGATGTGTAGGAAGGACTAGAAGTTTGTTGGGTTTTTCTTTTTAAATTATATACACACAGAGATGGTAATTACTAGACATCTTTCTCCAAAATGCGTTCTGATCAGCTTTTTTACAAGTCAGAAGCAATACTACTCTAAACTGGCTCTGCCATTTTTATTGACTGAAAAGATCTTGGCTGGGCCTTGAGAGGCACTTAATCAGGGACCAGTGGCCTCTCCTCTCAGAAACTGTAAACAGAAAGAGTTAAACAGCAAATGCTACAGATGGTGATATTGGTCGTGAAGTATTTAAACAAAGGAGTTTCAGTGAATGCTGAAAAACAAGCCCAGAGGAGCAGAGACTTTGCAGAAATGGTTTTTAAGGCACATGTTCCATTTGGGCTCACTCAGACCTTTGGGTGCATTGGATCCTGTTACACAGAATGGAAGGTAACTTCATGCTGCTACCTAGCTCTTAACGTTTAGAATGGAGTAATTTGTGAAAGGTCGGATTGTTCTCTTAGAAGTTCTTATGATGTCTCTATGTGACTTAAGGAGGAGTCCCCAGCACTTGCCCAAGAAGAAAGTATGTCGAACAAATAATTTTTAATTATTTGTGATTATATGGTTCATCACACTGGTTTTCAACTTGGGTTTCAAGGAAGCCTTCCGAGGCACTGGTTTTCAATTTTTTGGCACTTTAGGGAGTTGGCAATGGAGAAAGATTGAAAAACACCAGTATATAACATAATAGTATATGCAATAAATCACTTGGATATGCTGCAGTAAAAATTCACAAAGTAAAAACAGTGGTGTCAGAAACAGACAAGCTTAAGTAGCTAAACCTGCTTTGCTTTTGCCCTTAGATGTTGCAGAAGTAAGCAGGTGGAGTTTGAGACTAGGAACCAACCACTCCTGATGATGGTAGGCTGAAGCACTGTGTGTTTCAGCCTAGGTGTAGTTACTTTTGGTTGTTTTACCTTTTACTCACTCCAGAGCCTTGTTTTGCAGATGGACCAGCTGCGTATCCAGTCCCGGTGCAGAACACCAAGCCACTGCTTACTGTCAGCTTCACGTCGGGAGACATCAGTTTAATGAACAATTATGATGACTTGTCTCCTACTATCATCCGCTCAGGGTTGAAAGGTACAAAAAGAAACCATTTCACCCCTTCCTATGCTCTGTTTTTCTTGTATTCTTAGTGATGTGTGCATAGATTATGTTTTTGTGGTTGTCTCTCCTTAACCCTGAAGCACTCGGCCGCTGTTATTGCTGTTTCGAGCAGTGACACCTGCTGGAGGAAGAGCAGCGCTTGGCTGATGGAGTTTTTGTGTTTGGAAAATGTTTCAAAATGCTTTTGTGATCGTGTTTTCATGGCAATTTTGTAGAACAATCGATCTGTTTGCAGTTATCCAGCTGAATGTACTAATGTGTTTATGCTTTTTTGCGTGAATGCCTCTGCTACGTAACACTGCCTTTGCATGTTTAATTCACAAAGTTTTCCATGCTTTTGGTAACCCAGTATGAATTGCAATGCTGCTTTGATTCTCACAAATATTGAAAACTTGCTAGAATTATTAACTATCAAGAGGCAAGTTATTCTGAGGGAAGGAAAATGCCATTGATTAATTACTATACATCTTGCTAAGTGATGTGCATGAATGTTTGTTCGATCAGTATTCCATGTAAAATCTTTAACTCACATTGAAATTTTTACTGTTCTTACCTATTAAAAAAGTCTCTTACTTTGCCAGCACTCTCAGTACAATTTACGGTGTTTTACCTGCAGAGACATTTTAATTCACTGCAGCACACAGGCACAAACTTAAATATGTTTTTGCACCTGCACAGGTAAATTAGTTTTAAATTAGATGAAAAGAAAATGAGGCTGTTGGAGCAGACTCTTAGCTGTTCTGGAACAGTGGGATGTTTTTGGTGAAAAGTTACTTGAACACCAGCCCCATAGTTTTTAGGTGATCCATTATATAGAGTAGTCTTAGGACGTAAAAAAAAAAATCACCTTTGAGGTTTCTTTTTCACTCCTTCATCTGTGCCACCACAAAAAGTGCACAAGTGGCAAAGTGTAGCATCATGAGGCAACCCTATGATTGAGAAAACTTTGTCAGCCAAAAGGATGCCTAAAGTATGGAAAACTTAGTAGTCTTGAGTTGTCGTCTAGTCCGTTTTTCAACTGGAAACAGTAAGAGAAACAAACCCCGGCTTATTCTCTGTTTAGAGTTGCAGGGCTCTTTCTTGCCGAGGGTGTCTGTCCTGTTTCTCTTTTCCCATTGACTTTCACTAGTGGAAAAAAGATCCCTTAATTATGTCACCCTCCTGTAGAGAAATATTAATGTGCAAGCTAGAATAGGAATATTTTTATGAGTTATAAACTGGGTTACATTGTTTTCATCAGTAGACTAAAAATGTGCAGCACCTTGCTGGATTGAGAGTGCGTGTGAGGCAGAGAAAGGTGACTGGGATATCACTCTGTTGTTTTGAAGCACTGTACAGTGGAAAGTATTTACATATAGTTTTATATAGATGTCTGTTTTTTCTGTGTCTTCATATCATATTTTGTTTCAAGTGATTGTAATTTTACTGCAAGAATGTGCAAAACCACCCAGTTCAGGGTCTCCATCCTGTCCAGGCACTTGGTATTCTGCTGAGAGTGGATGGTCTTCAGTATTGGCTGCAAGTTCTTGTTCCTCTGGTTGTGTTTAAAATCTCAAAGTATTGCTTTGTGGTCTGTGCAGCAGATACCCCTACCTTTATGAGCCATTGTAAGGCTACTCAATATGTTTTTAAAGCAGTCAACTATAAAACTATTTCAAATGGTAACAATATATTTTTGCCATTCAACTAGCTTTGCAGAGCTGTCGTTTTACTGGGAATATTTCAGTGAAATTGATAGAGAAAAACTTTGATAATTTGATTACCCAAATAAAAGTTCTTCTTTTCATCCAGCTTGAACAGTACTGGTGATTTTGTCAGTCCTAGTGGAGGTCCTAAACTGTTCAGATGTATCCTTTCTTTTTTTTATGCTTTTTAACTCAGTGATTCTCAGCGCACTGGTACCTGCAGAACTGCTGAACTACATCTGCTAGTTGCACTTGTTATTTATAACTATTGCCTGCTGAGGTATTGCAAATTTGCAATGCTCTCTCTTCAGCATTTGCTGATACACATGCCTGTAGTGGTTGGTAAATAGTTTTGAGGGATGACTGATCCACTGATTTACTTGCAGACCATTACTCTAGACAAAACCTCCATCTGATTTTTAATCTCTGTGCTTATGCTGAGAACCTAGTTATCAGTTGAGCTATTTTATATAAAGGTTCAATAGTTGTTGAAGACCCTGTTGGCAGTGCAAGCATGCAATAGAGCCACTCTGTCCTGGGAGGATGCTGCAGCCCACATCCAACCCTTTACTGCCTTTGCAGCAACCTATTTCTAGGAGTTTGTGAGAGGGAAAACTGCTGGACAAAGTAATCACTCCTCTTCCTCTTGGTATGGGGATCAGCTGAAAGTTTTACCTGAAGACATGTATCGAAAGGAGACTGTTTTTTCATTTTGGTAGTTGTGTAGTTAATCCAGTTACCAAAAGTGGAGTTGATCAGCTTGCCTCATTTATTTTTAGCCTGCCTATCATTTTACTCTCTGAGAAAGATGAATTAAATCCCATTGTAGATTACTTAGAGGGCTGAAAACTAAGAGAAAACAAGAAGCATACCGTGCCAGCTGTGGTAAAATTATCTTGAGGAACTTGCATCTTGCCTCTGATATGTATAGAAGCATAATTCCCATGAGAAATATAAGAAAGTTGAAATAATACAAAACCATTTTAAATTGCACATAAAAGTCCCTGAAAATGACAAGTTGACAGCTTGAAACAATTTTGAGATCCTTCCTGCCAACTCTCATTTCTCTTCTGCTTCTTCATTTGAAGACAGCTTCTCGCCCACAAGTGTCTTCAAAAGATTCTTGGCAGATTGAGCATCCCAGAGCACAGAAATTTTGTCTTTACCTTCACTTCGTCTCAGCACAAAATAGCTGCCTTTCACCTTTGGTTTAAATAGTAAAAAGGTTTAAAGACTAGCTCAGTATTCTTTGCGCATGCAAATCTGCCTCTGAAACACAAGCAGAAATGCAAAATACAGTTTTAGAGCTGCTCTTGTAGTGTGACAAAGAGCTAGAGGATATAAGGGTTTGAAATTATCATCCCCAAATTAAGTTGTGGGCATTCCTTATCATGAGGTGCCTGTAAGAGAAGTAACTGATATGTATATTCATATCCGTGTATATGAGAGACTAAGCAGGCCCTGTGTGATTCTGGCAAACCCCTTTTAAGCAGGTGAGTAGATTTTCACAAGTCAGAATCACAGAATCAGAGGGTTATTGGGGTTGGAAGGTACCTCTGGAGATCATCCAGTCCAATCCCCCTGCCAAGGCAGGGTCCCCTAGAGCAGGCAACACAGGAACATGTCCAAGTGTGTTTTGAATATCTCCGGAGAGGGAGACTCCAGGATGTCCCTGGGCAGCCTGTTCCAGTGCTCTGCCACCCTCGACATAAAGAAGTTCTTCCTCATGTTGAGGTGAAACTTCTTGTGTTTTAGTTTCTGGCCACTGCTCCTTGTCCTGTCACTGGATACCATTGAAAAGAGTCTGTCACCATCCTCTTGGCACCCACCTTTGAGATATTTATATGCATTAAAGAGATCCCCTCTCAGTCTTCTCTTCTCTAGACTAAACAGGCCCAGCTCCCTCAGCCTCTCCTTGTAACAGAGATGTTCCAGACCGCTAATCATCTTTATATGATGGTGGCAAAAGAAAACATATGACATGGAGGCCATATGTATTTATGGACAAAAGTCCAAGTCGTTTTAATTTCATGTTACACTAAGTTATAACTCTATTTGAGTTATGCTAGAAGTTAATATTCACAGATAGTGAGAACATGAGGCATTGCCAGATATTCTGCTTTTTTTCACTGTAGGCCTTTCCAGACAAATACTCTTTGCTGCTCTCTTAGGGAGATTATTTAGCTGCACATTAACTTGATTCCACTTTTTTATCGCAAAGCTATATGTAGGATCTTCCACATCAGTTCCACATCTCTAGTAAATTCTTGTCCTTAGGTGTTTAGGAGCAACCACTGATTACATTATAGACTTACCACAGAGAGAGAAGAATGAATGGTTTTTACACATGTTTTGCAATGTGCTGAGTAGGGAGAGTCATTCTCCAAAGTGCATCTATGGTGTATTTTCTGTTGTTTCAGTGAAAGGATTTAGGTTTCTAAGTACTTCAGTAACTTTCGAGAGCGTATTTTATCTGTTCAAGTTACTTTGCATAATCTGGAAATGCTGTTCCTATTGATTCTGATCAGTGATTATTACAAACCGTCTTTGTGCTTTCAGATGTGGTGGTACAGTGGTGCACACAAGGAGACCTACTTGCAGTAGCAGGCATGGAAAAGCAAAACCAGCTGTTTGACCTCAGCAATGGTTCTCTGTTGAAAAGCGCACTTGTCAAGTTCTACAACGTGCGTGGGGAACATATCTACACTCTGGAGACACCTGTACAGGTAGGAGGTACTTTTTAAGTCTGTTCTCAATGCTTTGCTGACATCTTTCCCACATTAGCTCATTGGTATAGAGCTGCAATGTGGAAAAGGTTGCAAAATGTCCTGAATTCATTCTAAAACACATTGTAGATAAAAATGCACTATAAATAATGATTGTTTGCATTAAGGTAGACATGAAAGATTGCGTCTGATTCTACGGTCCAGTGTGCTAGGTATTGTTTCCCAAAATCACTGGGCCATGAACAGACAGATAGGAAAAAAACACCTCTGTTGTTTTATGGATAAGTGGCTGAGGAGGAAAAAAGCTAAATAAGTTGCTTAATATTGTAACAGAGCCAAGAGCTGGACAAAAATATTCCAACTCCAGTATCATAACTACAACGTTTTTCAGTCTTTGTTATTGCTGTAGTTTTCTAATGTACAATCAGTTGGTCTGATGCAGTATTTTACTTTTTACGGCATCAGATGGAAAAGGATGAATCAGAAAGTCTTGTTTCTGTTCCCACCTTCTGTACAGACTTTCACTGTAACCTCGGTCATGTAACTTGCCAAGTAAATGTCAACACTTGGTTTGTGTGCTGCTCAGGAGCACAACATGCTTGATAGATCTTCACTGATATTTCAGAGCTCAGCTGAATGTATCTCTATTTAATTTTCTGCAGAATAGAGATGACTCTGTTCTGATTCCTGGCTGTTAGTAGTGAAACTTTATAATAGCATTAAAATCTAAAAGTGAAGGAAAGTGCTATAGATATATTAACTTAATTATGTTTAATTGTGATACCATGTATTATTTTTTTTTCAGTATACCCTGATCTGGGATGGATACAAAAGGATGACATAGTAAACCAGCTGCTAAGCCTTTGTGTTTGCTTATATGTAGCATTAACCTGTGCTTATTAACTTTATCACTCTAATTTAGGTAGAATTCTTTAGTTGTGTAATGTGTAAAATAATGATCTCTTAAAGCCAACCTAAATACGTACAGTGACATCTAATGCTGATGTAGGTACCTAAAGGACTTACCCATAAACACAGCTTTATTGTCTTAAACATAGCCCAGCAAAGTAGCACAGCCCTCTCCTCTCTGGATCAGTTCTGAAGAAAACATTTATATCAGTGTTGCTTTTTCCCAGACTAGGTAAAAAGCAAACCTTGTTCTGTTACTTTAGTACCAGAATACAGTATGTCCACATTAGCTGTTGAACCGGTGTAACACTGGTGTTAAGCTGTGAAATCACACTGTGGTTTGAGCATATGATCAGATCAGGCCAGGTTGCCTTTAAAGTATGAGTGTGTGCAGGCTCTTCTCTTACTGTTTTGTTCCTGGTAATCTCAAATTCTCCTTAATTTAAATACCTTAATCTCCTCTAGTTTTCCATATATAGCTTCATGTTTTCAGCTCTTCTCCTTTCTCCTCTACTTAATCAGCTGGGAGAAAGCAAATACTGTGGCTGATGTGAGGGCTAATCATTCTACCATTATATGAGTACTTCTAGGGCAACTGACAGGCCAGACAGAACAGGTTACTATCAAGTTTATATTGCAGTATTTCTCATTGTAAAAGTACTAATGTAAGACTCTCAGCTCTTTCCAGCTGCTAGTTTTCATGGAAATGGCAGTATTTTAGTGTAATGGAGATTTCTTCCCACATTGTCAACTGCAGATGAAAAGCCAACAACTTGGGAAGTTGTAAGCCGGGTTGGAAGTGAAGGATGGGGAGGGTCGGGGGGTGGCTATCACCACTTAATAACAGAATCATGGAGTCTCATTTCCTTTGGAAACTGGGATAAAAATAACATTCAAACTGATATGTTTAATAAAAACCATAAATATATGTGTATAAACCTACCTAAAATTAGAGTCACTCCTCTTCTCTTATTAATTAGCTTTTATTCTCTTTATTTGGTGCATTTAAATTCGTATTTACTCAGCTGCAGGAGGAAGTGAGGGGTTTTTCAGAAGGACACCTGTATCTGCTCATGTGGACTTTATTCTTTTATGTATTTGAATGCTAATCTAGCAGCATTACCAGCTAAGTGACAGATATGCTAGAACGTTGTTAAGTCATCGGTGTACTAACAAAACCAGAAAAAAAATGCTGTTGCAAAAGAAAATTGCTAGTAACTTTTGTTATGCTGTGCCTCTGCTCCAAAGATGTATATGCAACAATGACAGAGTGAGTCAGTGGTCCCAGTAATTTGTCTCATGACAAATTCATCAGAGTAGATTAATTAGTTTTCTGTACCATGACAGTCAGCCTTTCAATGTGATTTTATAAAATTCATTACTGGTTATTGAAGGAAAAAAAAAAAGAAGAAAATAAAAGAATTTCCTCATCTTGAACTCCTCTGCTAAAACTTTTTCTTCTGAAGAAGAAATGTGTGACTGGAAAGGCACATTTATTCTAAATGACTGTTCTGAACATAAAGGCCAGAAAAAGTAAAACAGCCATGAACATAGAAGATGGTGGATTACAGGTGTAAAACTGATTTTCCATATGGTCCTCTGTTCCAGTTCTTTGGTAAAGCAGATATCTGAAAATGAATTTTATCTGAAGATTAATTTTATCAGTAAAATATACTGAATTGTTTTTGTTTCTGCTGTTTGTCTGTCCTGTCTTCAGTAGGATATTCAGGAAACAGGAGATTTTATTGTTTATAACAGTCTAAGATATGCAACTTGACTGGAATGTTACTGAACATAAAATCACTGCAAACCCCAAAGGTAGAATAGATTTGGGAACTGCAAGTTACTCATCTTGATGATGACTCTTGTCGTGGATCCCTTCAAGGTGTTTTATATGCTCTCTTCTCCTCCAGCTTTAGTATGATTTTGGCATCCTCTGTCTCATTTGATTAACTCTCTTAAGCTTTTACCTTCAGTGTAGAAATTTATAGTTCATAAACTTAGTTTGCTGACTATAAAACCCCAGAGAGAGAAATCACACTTGTTTAGAAGTATTGAAATGAAAACAGTAGCTTTGCATGAAAAACAGCATTCATAAACAGAGTGGTATAAACATAGTGTAACACTGTCTCCTGTTCCCTGCTCTGGGGCTTCAGCCTGCCACCCTGGCATACTGCAAGAATGTATTTGCAGAATGTAGTGGAAAGAACTGAACAAGCATCAGTAAGGATTGGTCCAATGTTGAATTTTTGCTACGCAGAATAAAACTGGTTTGAACTTTGAAAGAACGATGAAAAAATTTTGGAAGAAACTTCAGAATATCACACCGGAGCAAACTGTGTCTGTATTGTGATCCAGAGTTGATACTGGTTATTTGCTTTACACAAAGGGCGTATCTTAAGAGCTGTTGATCAGCTGATGACTGTTCAAAAATGTACTATCGATTTCTGTACATTTTTTCTTGTACTAGACTTGTCCTTGTACACATGAACAGCAACCTGATGTACCAAAAATATGCCCAGTTATTTTAGCTGGCAGTTTTTTCCGTGGTCCTGCTTTTTCAAAATTTGAAAATATGATTACAACATCAGGCTGCCCTGCTGGTCATAATTTTATTACTGGAAGAATATTAATTTATTACATTGTTTGTTAAGTCTCAAATCTTTCACTGGCATCAAGCAGGGATGAGAATGATCAACTCATTTAAGACTATTTTAGAGTCTTGCTAAAATTGTTTGGTGGAAATGCTGCAACCCGGTTCTGTCACTTCAGAATTTCTCATCTAATTTGCAGACAGGTCTTTATTATATCAACTAACTGTACCTACTGTCACTTCTGAGTGGATACAGCTGCTTCATATCCTCCCATATTTTGAACTTTAAACAGGAGTTTCCTACACTACAAAATTATCTAACTTCCAACTTTAACAAACTTGTGATTTTTTTCCATCTGATGGTTCAAAGTTGTACCTTATATTTTGGTTCCTTTTTCACTTTTTATAATTTTTTATATGTCCCAGAGAGGGAGGGGAGCAAGAGCGCAAATTTAAAATGCAGATCTTATCTATACACTTTTACTTCTACAGTAAATTTACATTAGCTTATGATTTTATATCACTGTGTAACTGGTGTAAGGACAGATTAAACCTCAAGGGTAGTGAACAAGGAGGAGGACAGTGAACTAAGCCTCACATGTTGTATAGACAGCAAGATTAAATGCAGAAAAATGGTATTTGTAATATCTTTAAACCCTAATTCAAAGTGGTGTAGTAAACACTAAATCTTTATGGGAGAAGTTTCCAGAAGTCTTTGAGAAGAAGACCCACTTGCTATAGACCTGCTGCTGTCAGCATTTTACAGGCTGCTTCTCCACTGGAAATGTTCCGGCATCTAAATGAATAGATTTAAGATTATGTGATCCCACAGAAACCTTGTAGTTCTGTGAAAGCTATTTTACTCGGGCCTGAGAAGGAAGGTGCAATTTTAGGTTAAATTCAGATCAAAAGTCTATGAGAGATGAGGCTTCTTTTTATGTTACTCAGCTGAGCTTATCTTCATTTATTTCACACAGAGCGTTCAGGTTGACTGAGCGTTCATGTTGACTTTCATTTATATTGTGTGAAATCAATCCTATTTAGTTGTTATTGGATGACAACAAAGGTTCAAGAAGAATTTATTTTCTTACAGAAACAAAAGCAACAGTTTAGAACTAACTGATGAAACATGTGTTAGGATATCAACAAGGACCTTGATATTTTTCATACAGGCCATAAGATCATCTCTGACTGCTGCAGAAATGAATTGTAATCAGGAATGGAAAGTGGAGACACTTGTCTAAGCAAAGACTTATTCTGCTAAAATTGAATCTTGTTGTAGTTACTTCTTTTAAAAAAATTACCGTAGAAATAGAGAGCATGTAAGAAACATTTGCAAGTCAAATAAGAGTTTATTATATGAAAAATCATGTAAGGCCACAGCAGTGTATTTTCTGACCATGTCATAGTCTTTATTGCTTTTATCACCATCAGTTCTTAACAGTTAATATTTTTCCCATGTAAATATGGGGAACAGAAGAATGAAGGAGTTATGTTCCTTTCCAGCAGTCATCCACGAATGCTGTGGCAGTACAGAGATGTGCATGCACAATTCCCAAGAGCCAGGTGGGCACTGCAACCATTGCACCTTTCAGCTTGTCTCTTGAGAAAAACAGGGAAAATTGTGCATCACCACGTCAGCAGTCTCAAGTGAAAGCAAGCTAGCAACGTATTTACACGTGCCATTCACTAGATACTGTTTTGCAGTTGTGTTTTTTCTCCTGAGAAAAGTCTTGCTAGTTCCTGGGCTTTCTGCCCTAGAATACCATTTTTGTGTCATTACCAGTGGGAGTCCAAGTGCCAGCAAAGAAGGGATTTGTTCAAGCAGCAGGCAGGCCTCATGGCTCAGGATTTCTGAGCTCAAGGCAGGCAGCAAGAACCAGCTTGAACAGTGTTTTCATTGACTGAACTGCATACAAGTGATGGAAGGTATATAAATTATGTTCTCTCCTGTAGGAGAGACAGATGAGTGACTTACAGGAAGCGACCACAGAGCTTTGAGCAGGAATATCTATTCCTGCATGTTTTTCTAAGGGGATCCAACATCCCAGCTGGGGTACAGATTTGAGCAGATGTTTCTGAGTTTCAAGCTGACTCTGAAAAAAATGGCAAAAGAGCTCCTTGTTGGACACTTGCTGAGATGTGTTTTCAGTCAATATTTCTCCTGATAAAGCATCTATTTTTTTTTGTCCTTTTGCCAATTATTTCTAATACTTAATTGTGGTAGAGCGGAATCCTACCTATCAAGTTCAAGGGGTTTTCCATGATTATTTTTCCTACATGTTTGTATTTAAACCCTGGAATTCATTCAGGTATTTACAGTTTGTGCTGAGATTTTTCAAAACCTGATGGGATTTTTATATGCAAAGTGGGATTAGAAATTCTCATGTTATATTTGTAGCTGCATTTCCTTGTTCCTAGCAGAAAAAAAACAACTATGCAAGCATGGAAAAGAAAATTCTTCTGTGCTAGAGTCTGCTTGTTCACTTTGTAACAGGTGCAATTTGGGTACAACTTTTGTCCCTTTTTTTGCTAAAACAGTGCAAATAAGTGGATGCTTTATGAGGAGCAATACTTTTCTGTTGGATGTTGGAGTTCAATTGTTTTCTCTCAGTAGAGGTTGAAAGGAAAGCTGTGGCCAGCTCATAACTGACTTGCGATAGTAATTGATTCATATCCCCTGTCCATCAAGGGGAAGAGTGGGAAGCATAGTTATTGAAAAATATTATTGGAGCAATACACTTAAAGGTCAAGTCAGCTCTGGCATTTGGGTGATCTTTTCTTTCTCCAAGACTCTAACAACAGGCTAATTTTCCCTGAATCTCCTCTTAAATCTTAGCCTTTAATCATAAAGGAAGTGTTACTGAATACTAGGCTTGAGGGGTACGAAGGGTCTGAACATTTCATAGAAAAGGAAGGCAAAGTGTGTCTGGTGAATCAGTAAGCAAAGACAAACCAGTGTGGTACAAGCGCTCTTTGATGAGATTGAAAATATTAAAACATACGAGCTGTGTGGGGATATGAACTGTACAAAGGGAAGAGTAGAAATGTCACTATTTACAAACAGTACTACACTTGTAGGTGTTGTATGTTTGTGTCTTTACTTAAACATGCACCTACTCACATATTGTTTGCATGAAAGTACAGAATGTAAAGGCATCATACATTCAGAAGTTTAGAAGGTGACTGAACTGTGGTTGCCCGTTGGAAAACTGTGGTAAAGCCAGGCAGGAAGGCAATGTCTTTCAGCTTCTGACTTTCTGCTCTTCCTGAACTCCATGGTGCTGTGTTGCTGGAGGTCCCACCCAGTGCTTCAAAGCTTCTGAAAAACCTTTTCCTTGAGACTGTGTTTAAGATTGCAGAGGTTCTCGCACTGGTACTTTCTGCATCTCTGCTGTTCTCTGCATGCAGAGTAACCTGAGAAAAGAAGTGGTTTCATTTGACTCTTATTTGTATGAACAGTGTGTATCACACAGTAGGTGTGATATATTGGGTTATAATAGCTGCAATACTCAATACTGTGGTAGGGCTGTCTGGGTGTGCTGTATTGGATTATGATAGCTGGGATATCAGACTTCTCTTTTGGCATCAAAGTCTACACAATAAATAAACATTTGTGTACCAAGTCACATACTTGTTTGTTCCCTCACTATATTTATAGGTAAGCTAGGGAAGTAGTTGATGCAAGGTGAATAGAAGGATGACGTTTGGATCCCATTGTAACAGTCAGGTGAATAGTTCTGCCCATGCTGGAATTTAGCCCTTGGGGGAAATCAAGGTCACTTCTACTAGTGCCATTCTCAGACTGTCATATAGTAGACATGGCTGGTACCTAACTTGTGTCAGTGCCTTTTCAATTGCATTTATTTTGCAAGCAGCTTGAACTGTCTCATTACTGCCAGACAGTATGAGGGCTGAGCCACACTCACAAATTATGAAAATACCAATCAGTAGGGGATACTTTATGTGATCTCTCCTTAAATTTAAGCCTGTATCCCACAGATTATGGTTATGACAAGCTATGTAGTAATTACCAGTGGTACACAAAGGGTTTCTCAATTCTTTTGAAGTTCTCCACTACAAAATGCCTTTAGCAATTACTGTGAAAATTACAAGGTTCACATGTTACTGCTTTTTATTTGCATATCAGTCAGCCTGAAGATTTGTGCCTTTGTGGAAGAATGTGTGTGTGTGTGTGTGTGTGTGTGGTGTTGCCTAGATGTAATTAAAATGAAGCTTCTTCATTTCTCCCACTTTAAAACCAATATTTTCCTTGAAATCTGAGTCTAGGATAAGATGATGTAGTAGGGAAGACCTTTTCTGTGAAGTTTTTCATCAAATGCTTTATCTTGATGGTAGTGCTGTGCAGCTACATTTTGCTTCATATCATTCATATCAAAACATATTTTCCCAGTTTCTCACCTTTAAGCATCTTGAATCTGTAACTGAAAGGAAAGATTTTCCCCCAGACTAGATTAGTAACTTCTGGGCTGATGTAACCCTGCTATCTGGGTACCATATTGCTAATAGAGGAGTGGATAAAAGCTATTACTGGTGGTGCCTTGACCCTATCTTCTTGTTTGGTGCATCTGTTATGAAAAGATATTCCAAAGATACCCTGACCTTTCAGTAAATACAGTTCATTATTTAGATGAAAAACATGGTTGCTTAAACTTTTGAGTGTCATAGATTGTGAAAATAAGGAAGCCCTTCACAGGAAGGAGTAAACCTTTTGTAGTTCGCTGATCGCAGCCTCTTGTATAGTATTCTTCATGGAGTGAGAGTTTCATCTTTACTCCATGTTGTTTACTTGTAAAGAGATAGCAGATAGGGGATTGAAATACCACGGGGTTTGTGCGTATATGCAAATTCAGGTGCTTTGTAACTCAGAAAGCAAGAGATGACAGGTGGATGCAACTAACACTTATGAAGGGCAAAAGTAATGGTGATAGAGCTATAAGAGGTCCCAACAGACTGGTACTTTACATGAAAAAAATGGGATTTAGGAGGAAAGTTTAGAGGGTTCCTTGCAAACAGGGAATAATGTCTAAAACAGTAGTAATTTATTCTGCATTGTAACACCTAGTATCAGTTGCCCCTCACTCTTTCTAGTTTTACTGTCATGATTTAGACATTTCTGAGTGTAGAAAAGCAGAAGACAGAAGGCCGTTCTCTATTTTGTTCCTAGTGCTCTTTCACAGTTCATTTCCTCTGGGAATAGTTCAAAAGAGACACTGTGCAGTGGAAAAGTCAGTGCAAGACAAGAAAGCTGATTGGATTTTCTCCACTCATTTTCTGTCTCTGGGAATATAATTTAACTTTTCAGTTGTAAAATGTGAGATGTTACCAGTGGATGAGGCTTGATTAGGTGACTGAAAAAATCGTTTGAATAGGGCATCAAAAGATCCTACTTTTTAACACTGTGTGACTTTAAAGTCACTTATCTAGGTACTGAATTTGGTAGATGATTTCTTGTGTGATGAAGCCTTCTGAGTAAAAAGCACTATGTAAACATCAACTGCTGTTATTGATGATTTCAGATGTTCCCGTTCTTCTCCCTTTTCGTGGTCAGTAGCAGGCACTTTTAAGTTTCTGCAAGACTTAGGCTAATGTGATCGGTGCTGAATTCATGCGATCACTTGCTGTGCAGCTATCTTGGCAAAAGATCTTTTAAGAAATTCTTTTAAAGTAGTATCCTTTTGCTCTTCATGCAGCGTCCCATCATCTCCATCTGTTGGGGTCACAGGGATTCACGCCTGCTGATGGCTTCCGGACCTGCATTGTATGTAGTCAGAGTCGAGCACAGGGTCTCCAGCCTGCAGCTGCTGTGCCAGCAGACCATAGCTAGCTGTCTGCGGGATGACAAGGACATCAGCAAACTCACCCTGCCCCCTCGGCTCTGCTCGTACCTCACCACTGCCTTTATACCAACAATCAAGGTAAAAGGAAAGAAATGTGTGTCTTGGGAGGAGGAGGAAAGGGTTACTAGGTTTCTCCCCCATGGTGCTCCTAAGTGACGATGGCTAAATTATAAGATATTATTATAATTATCATTTTAGAAGCTTGATTAAGGGTCATTCCTGTCCTCTTCAAGAGCCCTATGATGCATTTGGTGCCTATGAAAAATCTGAAAAGAAGGCTCACACATGCTGATCTGCATTATTCCATGGAGATGGCTTTTCCAAGTACATTGCAGGGGTAAAATATGCTGGTGACTCACAAAGACTTGTGAAGAAGCTCATGCTGATGATAATACTGTGTCATGGTTATAAGGAGAGATTCACAGGGGTAAAACTATTGCCTCCCTGCATGTCACGAGTGCTTATATTGCCAGGAAAATTAGACTTAAGACCTGGGGCTCCCAAGTATTTCTGCTAACAATGAGTTCTGCTTACCTTGCTGCTCCAACAGTGCTGTGGAAAAATGAACCAGATATTACACCTTTTCCTGTACCGCGAGCAGAACCGTCTGCACAACGTGTTTGTTTCATGGTTTTGCCCTCAGTAACATCTTTGGATTTCCAAACTTTTTATCACAGCCTATAATCCAGAGCATCAGCTGGTAAATGCTCAACATTCAAACACGCTTTTCTGTGATTTTTTTGTGTACGTGCTACAGCATTCTCTTGAGCCAGCTTCAGGTTCTTGTCAAAACATTGCAGAGCTAGAACAACTAATTTGAAATCACTGGGGCTGGCCTAGCTTAAATGAGAACAAATTTTGCCTAAAAAATAATAATTCAACGTGATTCCATTTGGCTACTGCTAATCAGGGCAGTTTGTGCAACTGTAAAACATTTCACTTGTCAGAGAAGAATAAATGCCTTGCTGTAACCATAAGACCTCCATCCCCAAAGATGCAGAGCATCTAAATAACCAGTGGTCTTCACTTCTTTCTCAAATGCCTCCTTCTCTCCAGGGTGCCTCTTTCCATGTTGTTCCAGACCAGCCCTGCAGCTCTATAGAGCAGCAGTGACATTTGCTTGGCTGTTAGGGAAGGCAGGAGAGGGGAGGGGATGAAGACAGCAGTTGGCTGTAGTAAGGCTGGGAGCCATGGTGGAACTCAGAGGGGCAGAGGCAGTACAGGGGCACATTGTTGCCAAAAACCCTTCTGTCACCTCCCAGAGGCAATGCTGGATGGGTAACAGTTGTGGGGCTGCAAGACTGAAGCTGAGAGGCTGAAGCAGGGTTTCCAGAAGCCTTTCTTGTGCTCTTTCTTGGGTGTTTCTGGAGCTTCCTCAGCACTTATTTATACTTTACCCTGGGCTCTCACCCAGCCACATGTTCAGCCTATGTTGTCAGCCATGCCTTCAGTGTTTGCAAAGGCACCCTCCTTCATGCACACGTTCCTCTTCCCCCTCCAGTTCACAGACTACATTATAGGTCACTCCTCAGCCTATATCCATCTTGCAAGGTTAAGAAAGCCTATTTTTCCCTACCTTTTTTTTTCTCATGCTTTCATTTTGAAAGAAACTGTGTTGACTTATACATATTAATAGTATTTGTGTCATACAGGCTATATTGTCCTGCACAAAAGCAGTCCTACTGCTTTAGAACCAAGTTTTTCATGGATTAACACAGTGTGGCTGGCAAGCAGGGCAAAGTAACCCACCCTGAGCTACGTGCTTGCATTTCTTGACATTGCACACAAATAGACCCTCAGCAAAGATGTGCTTGGAAGTGATATAAGAAGTACAAGCTTCTTCCAGAGCTGACAGCATTGTAGCATAGTGGCATTACATGTACTATTACTAACCAGCAGTGGGAATCTGAGTGGCCAGATACGCTTGGAGGGCCTACAAGAGACAAGATACTCTGATATTTGACTTGACCACATTACCCAAGTTCAAAAAGACGTCTATGATACAAGCCAAAACTTGAAGATAGGTTTATTTTCTAATTCAGTTCTTTGACCACAGGTTCAACCATCCTTTTTGATGTAACTAGTTGTAGTTTTCTGTGTACAACTGCTTTTGACCCAACCAAATAATACACAGACACTGTCTTTCTTGCATGTGGGTCCTGCATAACTCAAAGAGTAACCTGTACTAATCTTCACCTACCAAATTAGAGCTGGGTTCAAATTCAGTTAGTTTTGTTGGGATTAAGTCACCATAGGAAAAAAAGCAACCAATAACCTATAGGAAACTTTCTCTTTCCTTCCTTCATTTAATTAAGCCTCCTATCCCAGACCCAAACAATATGAGAGACTTTGTCAGCTACCCAACAGCTGGCAATGAACGGCTTCACTGCACAATGAAGCGGACAGAAGATGACCCAGAGGTTGGTGGTCCATGTTATACACTGTACTTGGAATACCTTGGGGGACTGGTGCCTATCCTGAAAGGACGTCGTATCAGCAAGTTGCGGCCAGAGTTTGTCATCATGGATCCCAAAACAGATGGAAAAGCAGGTAGAATTGAGTTGTTGTTCTGTATAAAAAATTATTTAGAAATACTTTTGATATTAAATCCTCAAGAGTTTAAAAATATATATATATGCAACATAAATGGTGGCGTCTGATATTTTTTCTTATGTGAAAAAACCTTTAGCATGACCTAGACTCAAGCCTCTGAAATTATACCATGCTGCCTTTTGTTTTACAAAAGAAAACTTCTTGTAATGGAAAATAGACTGCTAATTAGAAGAAAATATTTTTTAGTCTGAATTTTGAAGTCAGGTGAATGCTATTCACTTCTCTGAATCATGTTCACTTGAGTTCAAAATATTGCAAATTTGGAGTTTATACTAGGCAGGGTGAAGAATGTTTACTTTTTCTCTGCCTAGTTTTATTTCAATTACTGCTTGTGAATTGGGTTTATGCTTCTGGTCACTGAGAGTTGTAATTTATACCAGTTTTCTGAAGTAGCACTTAAATTTTCTGGGACCTGTCTTGATAGATGAAATCTATGGAAACAGCTTGATTTCCACTGTGATTGACAGCTGCAACTGCTCTGACTCCAGCGATATCGAACTCAGTGATGACTGGGCAGCAAAGAAATCTCCAAAAATCAGTCGAGCTAGCAAATCACCTAAACTCCCCAGGTAATAATTTCTTGGATATTTCTTCTTCTTCCCCATGGGTTCGTTCTATCTTTGTCTCTTTCCCCTTTCACTCTATCTCTCTATCTCTTGACCCCTTGTAAAATTAAAAGCAGACTCCTTTGGGTAGATAGGAATCATAGGATTGGGGTCTTCTTCAGTGTGCAGTCATGGGATGATGTCAGAGATTGGTGTAGAGTTGGACTTCGTGGAAGATTCTGGGGCAAAATGTAATGGGAAACAATAGGACACCACTTCTCCCTAGGCCTCAAAGAAAGATTTTATGAACTCTCCCACCTCTGCCTTTGCCACATATGAACTCTTGCCACCGTGGAATATATTTGTCCTTCAAACAGACTGTGTTTTTACCCCCTCAGTGCTTAGAGTCCCTGATCTAGTTAAAACCTTTATTTCCTCAGAGATATTTTCAGTCATATGTCCATGCATAGGTGGCATAGATCCTGACAAGTGGCACTGATGCTGTGGTGGCCTTTCAAGGGAGCCTTAACAAACAGAGCCTCCTAAACACAGTGTTGACAAGGTTCTGTAACAATATGCAAACCAAGCTTCCAAGCTATTAATTTGTCCAGTTGTTTTCCTGACAGCTCTTCATTATATTCATTATGTGCATAGATAGAATCCCCAAACCTGCACGGAGCCTTACTGATGTCTGTGGTGTTTCTCATAGGCACTGACCTCTATATGCCAGCTTCATGTTACAGAATTAAGGCCCTGATGCCTTCTAGCTGCAGGTGACACTTTTCCAAAGACTGTATTATGAGCTTGCCCTGGTATCACGGAGAGCAAATGCATCCTTTTATGTGTGAACACATGTGTGAAATACCAAAGTTTTAGTTTGGCAAAAGAACTAAACTTGACAAAAGAGCCATCAATTCCTGAGCCTAAACCTGAATGGGCTCAGGAAAAACAACTGTCTTGCACCCTTGGTTTTCTAAGAGCATACTTTTGAAATGCAACTTCTGTTTGTTACTTTTTCTATGACTGAGCTCTTTCAGGTGGCTGAACTCATATTCTTGACCCCCTTTGCATAGAGGGAGATATGACTTACTGCGTGTCAGGTCTTCTGCATGTTTTATTTTAACCTGTAATTCTCTGTCCTGTAGACTCTTTATTAGCCACTTAGAGAACACCACACCAGTTGTCTTCCTTACATCTTTACTCTCAAAGACATGAATTTTGTGCATTTTTCCGTGCCCACCGATGATTCTCATTATTGCTTTATCTGCAGAATCAATATAGAAGCTCGCAAATCTCCAAAGATGTCCCGAGCTGCACAGGAGATATCAAGATCACCAAGGTTACCAATAAGGAAACCCTCTATTGGTTCACCAAGCCTGACCCGAAGAGAGTTTCCTTTAGAAGATATTACCCAGGTATTGTGCCTATTGTTACCATACCCGATTCAAATGGATTTTCTTCAAGAGGCAGCAAGTTGTGATAGAGATCCAATGTTCACCAATAAAAAAATGTCATCAAATTACAGTTACTAGAAGGAACAACTAGAGAATTGCATCTTCCAGTTAAATATTAATGTTCAAAAGTGCCAGTGGAGTATCAGGTGTTATTTGAGAAATCCCATCACCACTAATTTTTGTCAATGCAAATCCATGTGAGAAGTTTTATTCCAAGTGATATTGTTGGCTTTGTAAAAATGTGAAAATGCTTCATTGGTTTCTCAGAGCTGTCGTAATACCACCGTAATTCTCTGCTTTGCTAGGGATTGCTGAGATAAGGAAATGTTTGCTTCAGAGTTCTCTGCTTCAATGTTCTCTGTTTCATAATTACATGGAACAGTCTTAACTGGAAGGCAGGCAAGGATTTGGCACTTTGTACTCTTTGTGGTGTTCATGTCCTCAGGGTAAATGAAACTTAGCAGGCTGTAGAACTATCTGGATTACATATTTGATTAATAACAGCCTGCATTCTTTTAGTTTGGTTTGGTTTGCTTTGGTTTTTTTCTGCTCTCTTGTTTCACTTTTTCCTTTTTATGAAAAATTCTAGATAGTTACACAGAGATAGGACCAAAAGTCCCTTGAATAGGGCAGGAGACCCAAGGCTTAGATCCTGCTCTTAATATTGACAGCATAACTCCTGACCTTTGAGAAAAATTTCTTGGTCTTTCAGACCCATAATATATTCACCATGGCAGCAATGGTTTGGAAAGTTGCTTTAGGAGCTCCAGGGAAAAATATGTTTGCTGTTATGAGTAATTAATTTGTGCCTTATTGTTTTGTAAAGTGACTCAAGCATAGAACCAACGGGCAGGGTGTATTACTTTCTGAAATACAGAACAGCCATGCTCTTGCTGTACAGAAAAGCAAGCATTTGAAAACAGACCTACTCTCACTGAGCAGACATTGTGTTGTTCAGTTGCTACAAAGGCACATTAGGCTGTTTCAATACAATAAAAACAAGAGAAGCTGAAATTGCATTATCACGTGCAATAGCTTGATTGCTCTGCAGTTCTTTCTTAGAGTTTGATACAGATTTTATCAGGTAAAAATGATCTTGTTTTTGCTTTGCAGCACAACTACCTTGCTCAGGTCACATCTAATATCTGGGGAACCAAATTTAAAATTGTGGGTTTGGCTGCTTTCCTACCAACTAACCTTGGTGCAGGTAAAAGTGAACTCTGTTGATTTTTTTACATGTCAAATTCTTTCTAACAAACAACAAACTTATGCCATGACATTCTTTTTAAGTGATCAAAAGACTACTTTAACAAAGCACTTATTTTCTGTGGACAATAGGAATTAGATTTTATGAAATTCACTGTAACTAAAGGAGATCAAAATCTATAAATACAATAATGACATGATCAATAAAATGCTAAAAGTCTCACTTGTAATAAACTGATTAATTAACATTCAAGCCCGGACCTTTATTTTTACAGTTTATTTGAACAAAACCCACACAAATAAAAAAAAGTTTTTGCAAGAGGAGTATAACAATCATGGGTATTAAGTTACTGTAATAGAAATATTTTTAATAGTCAGATTTTTGTAGTAATTTAGCTAGAAATTATGCAAAAATAATGTTAAAAAAGCTCTTACAGCATCATGCTCAAGATTCTTCAGGTCAGTACATAGCCTTATCGTAGGGTTCTCCTGCTGGAGCATGAGTAGGTTCACCTGCTGGAGCATCAGTAATCTGGTAGCCTTCATTAAAAGTCGCAGTTGTCTGGACTATCAACCTTGTTTTGGGTAGGCCAGTCCTACCCAGATAGTTCTGTTGGAAGGAAGAAGTCTGAGAAAAGAGCAGGGTACCACCTAGTTGAACTGAGCTCTGAACTGAAATATTAATGCAAGTGTAGCAGTTTAATGAGCTCTTTGGAAAACTTATGTTTTCCTGTGTTGTATTATATAGTTAGATCAGGAGCACATAATGATTCCCTGGATGCAGAATTAGATAGATGCTTTTTGTGGCTATGTTGACTGCTATCAGTAGTAGAATGACTAAAAGTCATTCTAATTCTCTCATTGTCAGTGACAGATAGGTAGGGAAGGATGTAAGTGTAGTGTAAGTGTATAGTGATACTTTCTTCAAATGTTCTCCCAGTCTCCAATGTTTGGAGGGACTTCTTGAGCCATGAGGGGTTTCTTTGCATGTAGTAATCTTCAAAAGATTTCCCTCCTGAAGACTTTCCAGTTTTACCCTGAAGTCATGTAAGTCAGTAGCATCCTGTGGTGAAGAGTTCCAAAAGTAGAATGGAAAAAGCATTTTCCTTCCATGAAAATAGATGTGAATAAAAGATAAAGTAATTCATTATTTCTGTGTATTATTTAACTACAGAGATGCTGCTTCCATTTAAAGAGAAATAGCTGAAAGTTACAATCTCTTTTATCCCGTTTATGCAAAGTGTTATGTAGTAATTTGACAAATAATGGTTCACACATGCACATGTATATAGTAAATAATAATATTCATAGCCCTTCTGTCTGCTTTGAATTGATTCTTTCTTAGGTTTAGATGCTCTTTGTGTAACAGATTTTTTTTATTTCTTGCTATACTCTTTCTCTAGTAATATATAAAACCAGTTTGCTGCATCTGCAGCCCAGGCAAATGACCATATATCTCCCAGAAGTGCGGAAGATTTCAATGGACTACATTAACATGCCTGTCTTTAATCCAAATGTTTTCAGCGAAGATGAAGATGATTTACCAGGTAAGGAAGAGCTGGAGGTCTGCCATGTTATGGGTTAAGCTAGATGAAGGACAGGTCATCCGTGTTATGGTCCCCTGTGGTAAACACACAAATCAAAATCCCTTAGTCTGATGGGATCCTGTAAAACCAAATTAGAATAAGGCTAATATATATTATAGGCATTGTTTTCTGATACATGTGGAAAATATAATCCATGTAGAGCTGCTAAGTTTCAGGTTCACTGGAAAAGTAGTCATCTGCTGATTCATCTTTGTTAAGAATTCTCCGTAAACTGAAGCCTTGCATTCTGCGTCTTGACAGGACAGAATTGTAATGTGTTGGAAGCCCAAACAGATGGTTCTTGAGTCCTGATGGCATCAAACCACAGCCTGCTGATGAGCTTGGGTTGGGGGACAGGTTCCCATAATACTTAGCCACCCTTTGAGAAGTGATAAATGCCCATTTGGACTTTTATTAATATTAAGAGGCTAAAATAGTGAAGTAGTTGATCAACAAGTGGGATCAGGAAGAACTTTTCATTTCACTGAGATGTAAAGTAGCAGAAGATTCAAGCAGTGTAGTTGATGTGATGTGGCAGGTAAAAGGACTGGAAGAATTCAGGACCTCCTCCGATCAAAAAAATCATCATGCTGGTAAAACTAAAAAATAATAGACAAGAGATAAATTAATACATTTTAAGAATTTTCATATCAGTGAGGGATTCCTTTTGCCAAATCACAGGTGTTTGGAACTACAGAAGTGGCCATCATGCCAGTACCCTTTGAGAAGGAAGGAGTGTGAGCACTGCAGAGCAATTAAAGTTGTCTTTACTGTGCTAGAGTCTATTGAAATAAATGGAAATGCTCCCATTATTTCAGACCAGGGTTTCAACTACTGAAAGCACCTAAACCCGTGTCCGACCCAAGCATCAGAGTAGTCTTCTGGACTTCTAAAGAAATACTTGTATGTTTAAAATGAAGCCCATTTTTACACAATTTGGGAGACTTGGCTTGCCTCATTTCTGTCAACATGATATTCACCTGTAGGTTCTGAAGAAATAATAGAGACATTGATGATTGTATATATTCTATTAATAGGAAGCACTCAACATTCTCTATTACGAAACATGGTCCAAGCTGGCAGAAAGTAATATAAAAACTAAATAGAAAAGAAAAAATTTAATATAAAGTTTTCGCATGTCTTCCTGAAGATTGAATGGGATATGGAATATAAATTCCTTTTATCTTATTGAAGAGATGAAATGGTAGTCAGAATTGCAGATACACCACATACAGAGAGAAAATTGTTAGAGAGTTTTGTTACAATTCTTTGAGAAGCCTAGTAAAAGAATCATACTACCCTGCCTTTCATAATAGCTTTCCTTTTCTTGTCCACTTTTTCCTTTCTAGTTTCTTCTGAAAATTCATTTCTGACTTAGCAAATGGTGGCTACTTAAATAAAAAAAATATTTCTGGGTACATCTTTTCTTAAAGTCTACATATGAAGGAAAAATATTGTAGTGTAAATAATGATTACATGGCAGATTAAAAAAAACATAGTAGAAAGCTGCTTTTGGGCAGTGGAATGTTCATAGTGAGGTACCCTTGGGACATATGTTTCTTAATGTAGTCAGTAAAGATTTGGAAAGACAAATGCACAGTGAATTGATTTAACTTACAAAGTATGCAAACAAATCAATTAAAAACCATTGGAGAAATGAAGAAAACATTGGATTTAAACACTTTGGAATATTAAGCAGCACCACAACAAATGAGATTTTGTTTGATAATGCACTTAATACCCATGACAGCAACATTCGTGATTGCTTAAGCCAACCTAACAATCAAACCTCAAGCTCTGGCAGCTAAATTGCTAAACTGCAATTTCAGGATGAAAGCACGGCCTGCCGGCCAAGCACAGAACCACACTGCCTTAGGGTCATTTAAGTTTAGCTGTCCATCTTCTTCTAAAGGAACGAGCAGAACTACCATAAATATTTGCCAGCATAGCCACAGTCCTGTCTGTACACCTACCACATTCATCTCTGATGCTGATAAAAGCATAATGCTATTGAAAATATATTATAGGGCATAGGTAGATGACTAGAATTTTAATTAGAATTTAATTAGGAACTGGGCAGCATCTGCAGGAGTCCTGACTAATGGATCTCTTGCCTGATCTGGTCTTGCAAATCTGAGGTCTCCACAGAATTTGGCAAACTTAAAGGATCCTGGATATGATTTAAGGATCCTTTATCTCATCCGTTTTCCTTCCACAAACTTGCTGGTACACACCACTTATAATTTTCTGTGTGGTTTTTTACAGGAAGATTAATGAAAGATAAAGAACTTGCAATATTCTTGGGAGTTCTAATATAGTTTTTACTGCTTCCCCTCATTATTCTATTGTGTTCCTTCTTATCTTGACTTCTGCACCTGTACTTGAGTCCAGTGTCCTCATTTCCCTGCTTCAGCTATTCAGTGGTAGTTCCTGTTGGAAACACTCTCACCACTTTTTGCAAAAGGATTGCAAACAATTGAGCATGCTCAATGCTTCTGTTTAAAATCATGGGAGTTGCTTCTTGCCACACTGCCCCTTTTTCGCCACCACCACATGTGGGAAATTTTTCCTACGTGCATTTACTTCTTTTCACATTTCGGATTGCAGCATGCCCAAGCATTGATGCTGAAGTCACTCTGACTACAGTGCCCACTGTTGAATCTTTTTGGCTTCCCATCTCTTTCCTCACATCTTCCCCTTACATTTCCCATCTGGCCTCCCACTTATTTCCTCACATCTTTTCCTTACCAATCTTCTTTTAAAAACTTTTATAAGTTTTGTCCACATTTCATTCCATCATATTCCTTTCTGCTTCCTTGGTTTTGTATTATGGGTTGGTTTGTTACACACTGGACTCATGAGATTATAGTACTTCCCTTTTCCCAACTGTTGTCTGTATTCTCCAGTTTTCCTAAGCTCATTGAATCTAGGAACGTTATACAAGATACTATACAGTGCCTGCAGTGCAGGTCTTCAACTTTTTTTCTTACCCTCCACTTCTTTTTTTTGTTTACTGAAAACCAGTGAGTCCTGATTTAGCAAAACTTTTATTGATTTGAGTAGAAGTAGTTAAAACCAGATGAGTGAGTGGTAATTCAGACCATGAAAGTCCATGGGGATTATAGTGTAACCTGAAAGCAAGCTCAGAACTTTACCTCTGAAGCGTCACTCCCAAAAAGTGGCTTTAAAGTTGATCAGCAGCTGTTACAAGTAGCTCTTGTGCAATGGGAGTCGGGGAGATGGGCTGGCTTACATGTTCAAGCTGAGGTCTGATCCATTGGTTTTGGGAACCAATAGCACTCCATCCAGATACAACAGAGTGCTTAGGCAAGTACACAAAGGTAATAATTCGTTTAAAAAGTCCCTTCATGACTGGGGCTGCCCCACAGCAAAGACCTTGCCATCACATGGGAGGGATTCCTGGGATGGGGAGAGGAGGCCTAGACAGTGGGTGACACGCTTTGTTGTTCTTTGCAGTGCCCGGTGCCCCTGGCGCTCCCGCCAGCAGCCCGCCGTGCACCGTCAACATCCCCATCGCCCCCATCCACAGCTCCGCACAGGCCATGTCGCCTACACAGAGCATAGGCCTGGTCCAGTCGCTGCTGGCCAACCAGAACGTGCAGCTGGATGTGCTGGCAAACCCACCGGCGGAAGCGGGGGGCGAGGGGACGGGACCCTTCCCGGGAGCACCAGGCCGCTTTCCCGGCCCAGGGGCAGGGGGCGCTGGCTGTGGGGAGCTGGGAGCCGCCGGCCCCGCCGCCACCTCCACTGGCCCCGCCGCCCCCCGCACCCCCGCCATTGCCCTGACTGAACTGCGGGACCACAGTGACCGGGAGCATGAGCCCCCCCCCAAGGCCAAAGGCCCACGGCCAGGGCCACAGCTGGGTAGAAGGGGGACGCCGTCATCTTTGGGGCCACTCAGGAGCTGCAGCTGAACAAGATGAAAAACCCGCCCCCACCCTACCCCGCACCATCCCTGGCCCCAACTCTTCCACCCCGCCTGGCCCCCCGCAGCCACCCCTTGATCTCTGCCTCAAAAAGGGGGAGTTCTCACTCTACCCGGCGGGGCACTACCAGACACCCCTGGGGTATGAGCGGATAACAACGTTCGACAGCAGTGGAAACGTGGAAGAGGTGTGCCGGCCTCGCACCAGGATGCTCTGTGCACAGAGCACCTACACCCTGCCGGGTCCCGGCAGCTCCGCCACCTTGCGCATCACAGCTGCTGAGAAGAAGATGCAGCAGCCCTGTGCCAGCGCCACGCTGAACCGGCTCACAGTCCCCCGTTACTCCATCCCAACCGGGGACCCGCCGCCCTACCCTGACATTGCCAGCCAGCTGTCCCAGGGCAGAAGCATGGCACAGAGGCTGGACAACACTATCATTCATGCTACTCTGCGGAGGAACAGCAGAGAGGCAGCCCTGAAAATGGCTCAGCTGATGGATGGTCAGAGAGCCACCTTGCAACTTCCCCCAAAACCCAAGAGCAGCATTGTGACAGCACAGTACCAGCAGAGAGTACCCACCGCCTTGTACACCTGCAGCCAGTGCAGCAGTGGTGGCGCTGGCAGCAGCAATGCAAGTGCTGGTGGTGCGGGCAACATCCCTAGTGCCAGTGCTAGTAGCAGCACTTCCAGTATTGGTGGCGTGAGACCTGATCTGAGCACAGGGAGTGGCTCCCAGCACAGCTCTGTGATTGCTCACTCTGTCAGTACTTCGCCTCTGGCCTCCCAGTCCTCCTACAGCTTGCTGAGCCCACCTGACAATTCCCGTGACCGAGCAGATTATATCAACTCCGCCTTCACAGAGGATGAGGCCCTTTCTCAGCACTGCCCAGTGGAGAAATCAATACGGCACGCGCCTGTGTCCTTGACAGAGGCTACCCTTGCTGTAAAACGGCCACCACCATACCAGTGGGACCCTATGGTGAGTGAAGAGATATGGGTTCCTCAGGAAAGGACATCTCAGAGCTCAGTGCCCAATCCTCTAAAACCTGCTCCGCTCATCATTGGCCAAGCTCAACATCTGGATATGTCTCGAGTGCCATTCGTTTCCCCCAAATCTCCAACCAGTCCCACTGCCACCTTCCAGACAAGTTACGGGGTTGGAGTACCTTACCCAGGAAGCTACAGTGCCCCTCCCCTTCAGGGAATGCAGGCCCCCTGCTCCCCCAAAGAAGCTCTGGCCCCAACACAGTTTGCACAGCAGGAGCCCACAGTTGTCCTTCAGCCAGGTTATCCATCCAACCTTTCCTATTGCCCTTTGCCACCCATGTACCCGGGAAGTAGCACTTGCTCTAGTTTACAGCTGCCACCAATCGCCTTGCACCCATGGAGTTCCTATAGCGCCTGCCCACCCGTACAGAACCCCCCGGGCACCCTGCCCCCCAAGCCGCTCCTCGTGGTGGAGAAGCCAGTGATGTCTCCCCCACCAGCAGAGCTGCAGGGCCACGTGGGCACAGAGGTGATGGTGGAGACAGCAGACACTTTCCAGGAGGTGCTCTCCTTGACAGAAAGCCCTGTTCCTCAAAGGACAGACAAATTTGGCAAGAAGAGCCGGAAACGCCTGGACAGTCGAGCTGAGGAAGGAAACATGCAGGCTATCACCGAGGGCAAGGTCAAAAAGGAGGCAAGGACACTGACTGACTTCAATTCACTAATATCCAGCCCTCGGCTGGGGAGAGAGAAGAAGAAGGTCAAGAGCCAGAAAGATCAGCTGAAGTCCAAGAAACTAAACAAGACGAATGAGTTTCAGGACAGTTCAGAGAGTGAGCCAGAGCTTTTTATCAGTGGAGATGAACTGATGAACCAGAGCCAGGGCAGCAAAAAGGGTTGGAAAACCAAAAGGAGTTTGAGAACAGCCAGTGAGCTGGATGAATTCAAGTGCCGGAAGGCCAGCGAGAAGGAGGATGGGAGACTGGGAAGCCAGGGCTTTGTGTACGTGATGGCCAACAAGCAGCCACTGTGGAACGAGGCGACGCAAGTCTACCAGCTGGACTTTGGAGGGCGGGTGACCCAGGAGTCGGCAAAAAACTTTCAGATTGAGCTGGAAGGACGACAGGTAGGAAGGGATGACACACATGTGTTGGAATGGGGGCCAGGGTGTGGGAAAGCCATGCTAGGAATAAGCTCTGTCTCTCATGCTGCCGAATGCCTCCTGCTTGATTTAGCTGCTCTGTGAGAAAAAGCTTTGCCATGTGGTTGATAAAAAACAGCTGTCAAAGGTCTAGATTCAGCACGACGGGTGAAGTTCAATTGTAAAGTAAATATACAAAATATGTTCAGTCTTACTGCAGTCAGACATGGGAATAAGGGCCAACTTTAGTCTCACTGGCTTTCACTACTGAAAGTGTTGTAATAAACACAACAGATCTCTGCAACAGTAGCTGCATTTGCCATCATTGATGGTTGTGGATGGCAGCTAGTGAACACTGCTCCCTTCTTGCCCTGCTCACAAAGTTTGGCCAGTCAGTAGATAGCTAAGGAAGAGACAATGGACAGTCACTTTGGTTCTCTCCATGCCAAAATTTCCCCTTGTGGGTTACCAGGCCCCTGGGGCTGGTTCTTAATGCTAGAGGAGGGAGGCACTGACCCTCCCCAGAAAAAAGTGCTTGCGGGCCACTTTTGAACCACCCATGGGTAGAAGGGTCGACAGGTAGTTCAAAAAATCAAAACATTTAATGTGGCCCAAGTTGGATGGTACACCAGCCTATTAAGTGGTGCCAATCAGCAGGACACTGGACTGAGATTTAGGAGACTCATACTTAGTTCCTTGTCCAGCTGTAAGTCACTTTTGGTTTATTAAAGAGATCAAGGTTCTCAGTTTCCTCTGATTTAACTTGGGAGTTAGACGTCTTAAATATCCAACATGCGTGACCAGAGGTAGTCTTTTGGTTTTGCTTGTCTGTAACAAAAGCTCAAAGGCAGTGATCAGAGCCATTTATACCACTTTCTTCTTCAGTTAAATGGCTATGGATACATGCCCATGGGCAGCTGTGCGAAATCACCCAACCACAGGTTTTGTTGGTGGTGAGGGAACAGAACCTGACTTGACTTGCACAGTCTCCATTATAGCTCAAGGAGCTTCACTGCTGAGCAAATACAGTCTGGGCTTCTGATGAAGTGAATGAAAATGCAGTAATAATAGGCCAAACTTCAGATATTCCCTGCAGAAGAACAATGAACAACCTGACTAGCCCTGCATTCAAGCAGCTCTCGCTACCCCTTTGCTAATTCTTTCTCAGTGTAATTATGTGCTAGTGAAGTTTATGCAAAAGGAAACAGAACTGCAAAGAATGCACAGCTTACTGCCTATGAAGTGCTACAGTGATAAAATTGGTTATTCCCCTTCCCTGGAAGCTCTTTTCTTTGAAAGCAGAATCTGTTTTCCTGATGGGTTGATGATAGGATTTTTACAAGAGAGAGAATGGTAGTTTCCTGCAGGAAACATGATGCCGGTGTACCTCACATCTACTGAAGTAATCGGTGACAATCTACTCACAGGCTGTATGCAGTCTAACATATTTTAAAGTTCAATTTGCTCTATAGAGTCAAATATTGCAGTCAAATACTCTATACAGACATAGTACAGTGCTCTTACTCTTCTTCAGCACCAAACCCCATTCTGTGAGTAGCTCCATTCACATTACCTCAGGAGGTGAGGTGTTCGTATGAAGGACCAAAAAGATTTTGCTTTTATTCTTCTCTGATTCCTTTTCCATGGTTCACTTTTTTTGACGTTTTTCTCTTTTTCCTTCCCTTCTCCTCTTCCCCTGCTTCCCAGGTGATGCAGTTTGGAAGAATTGATGGCAATGCTTACATTTTGGACTTTCAGTATCCATTTTCTGCAGTACAAGCCTTTGCTGTTGCTCTGGCTAATGTGACTCAACGTCTCAAGTGAACAAGCAGAGACTGGAGAGAAGAAAATGTTAACCTTCTCACAAAGTCCAAACCGGAAAATGTCAGGGCAGCCTGCTTTAGGTGTGCAGAGATGCCTGGGAATGAAGAAGACAGTAAAACTGGAAAAGTATTTTGGTGCCCGCCAGAAGGGCATTAACTCTAATCAGTCATGGGGTGGAGGGTGGGGGGCTGTTTTCTGTTTTGTTTGTTTGTTAGCTTGTTTTGTTTCTATTTTTTTTTCTTTTTAAGTGTTGTGCTGGGTCTCAGAAAGAGCAAAGGGTTGAGAGCCATTCCATGTTACATGAAGAAATGTGGCTTTTGGCTTGTTGTGGTGGTTCTGCCACGTGTGCTACAGTAGCTGATGTAAGCTCATGGGGGGATTAAAACAGACTGCTCTTTTTGATAGACTGCCTTATGCTGTTCTTTTTAAAACAGGGAACATAACTTTTTTCTGGTCCAGTTTGTACTCCTCCTCCTCCTCTACTTCTAAAACATCAATGATAGCAGCAAAAAAAATAGAAAAAAAGAAGCTATAATACTTGAACACATAAGTTTCTTCTCTGAGATCTGCTAATAACTGAGCACCACAGGTTCCAAGGAGACATATGTAGGTCAATGTTTAATTTATAAATAATGATGTATCATTCAGAAGAGAAAAAATTGTTGCCAGTGAGTGGTTGTCATGGTTCAGGAATGGTATTCCCCAATTTTATTATTCCCTCTGAAACATTCCAAACCCCTCACCACTCGCTCATTTCTCCCTCATGCGGCAGGCTGGAGAGGAGAATCGGAGGCACAAAAGGTAAAGATTAATGAGTGAGATAAGAAAAATTTACTGGAAACAGCAATGAAATAAGAAAGCGAACAGTAACAGCAACAATATTAATAACAGAATTTACAAGAGGCAAGCTATTCACACATGATTGCTCACCACATGGAAACCCCTGACAATACCCTATGATGGCACCATGCTACCTGACCTGGTAGGGACCCCTTCCCCGTCGGAAAATGGTATGAGGTGGTATAGGAGGTTATTCTGAGGTGGTATGGAATAACCTCCAGGGCCTAGCCATGCCCACTCCTGGCTACTGCAAAATTTAACTGTGTCCTGGCCTAAACCAGGAGAGTGGTTTAAAAACCCACTGTATCAAAGAAGTTGATGTCTGCTTGTTTTGTGTGCAGTTATTGGGGATAAACATCTCTCAGTAGGTGACAAAAGATAGAGGAGCAAATAAATTATGAGCACTGCTTTTTTATTCTCACTGGTCAGCAGTATTGTCTGATTTGACATGTAGTTGGGAGAGGTACAGTGTGATCAGATGTACCTCTGAGGCCGTGCCTGTGCACGCTCCTCGTGTTTCAATGTGTTTACACCTTATAAACAAAGTCTTTCCAGTATGAGAAGGCCCAGTCTTAGCAATCAGTATGAATCAAGTTCTACAACAGTGTATCTGTGCTTGAATTAGGAAGGAGACAGAAGTGTAATAAGTCATTACAAGAAGCAGTTTCATCAGGAAAGCAAATTAATTATTGGAAACAACACCATGGCTGGCTGGAGAACAAATTAGTTGAAAGAGGAAGGAAAAATTGGACAGAATGATGCCTTTTATCACCTTACTACTTGAGTAGCCTTTGTGACTGTATTTTGAGAATATAATGCTCCAGATAAGAGCGGGAAGCCAAAGTTTACATAGAGTGTTACAGAGGAAGGCTTATAACAGTAGCATGGCTGCAGCTCTTTCTGGTGGATGTGCAGACCTGTTGAGCATTTCAGAAGGGTTGCTTGCACGGAAGAGTTTCTGTGTTGTCCTTGTATTGTGCACATATTTATTTGCTTTCTCTCTTTCCTCTTTGTCAGCATTTTGCTACGGAATATGTTTTGATACGAAAGTAGTTCACCCAGTAATACACAAACCTCAGAACTGTTCATATAATTATTTGGGCGCTAGATTACAAAACATCACTGCAGATTTTCTTCAGAAATTAATCTTTTGAAGTTAAAGGCACACTGGGAAAGATGTGCTAGTTGAGATGTCAGTGGATACTTTGTCTTTCATCCATGGTTTAACTTCTTTACTTGAAAAAGTTGATATAACTTAAGAGAACAAGTGTGATTTCCTCTCTTTTTCTTGAATCCTAGTAGTAAGGCAGATGTGTGTTGCATTTGATTTGTTCTAAAGCAACATATCACGTAATACCTTGCTGTAGTAGATATTAATAATATGCAGTGAGCTTCTAACTTCTGGTCTTCTGCGGCTACTAGAGCTGTACAGCACAGAGGAGCACTGCCAGTCAGAGAGGAGTTTCAGAGGGTTTCCAAGGGAGATGATAAAGCAGATTGGGTAATGCCCCATGGGTTAAGTCCAGGAAAAACCACCTTCAAGATGGTTTCATTGGAGAGGAAGCAGATGTAGGAAAGAAAGGAGCAGGGAAGTAGATGGTACCATGCTTGTATCCCAAAGCTCAGCGGCTTAGGCTTGTATATGGGAGTGATCAGGCACAACATTCCCGTTGGCATCTTGTTTGCTTTAATTAATTAGGGTTTTTTTCCACTAATTGTCTGGGCCTGTTTATGTTATTTTTCACATGCATGATTTATTCAGCAGGTTAAGTGCCTGTATTATGTGTGTGTAAGAGAGGAACCAAAATTGATTTGGTTCTGGTCCCTTAAAAATCAATGGAAATGTTTCACTTGGGTTTTTTTATGCGGAGGAAACACAATTAAGCCCTTTGTCTCTATTGAGTTATATACTGTAAAAGCAGTAGGTTGAATTCTTAGTCCACTGATCCCAAAACACAAGGAGGAAAGTTGGCTGATGAGAATCCTCACCTGCCCTAAGGTCTGTGCTAACCAGTCATACCCTAATTAGAGTTTAACAGGCACACACTGAACACCATAAGAGGAGAAACATATGAGGGCTGGCTTGCTTGCTTGCTGAGGGAAGAGCTACTTAGTCACATGTCAGAAATGTTCAACTGGAAGAAACATTGCCTGTAATTTTAAGCCAAAATTATTAGTACATGGAAACTACAGGAATGTTCTTTTCTTAAGAAAATCTAATCTAAATAGAAGGACTTCTGCATGCAGTTTCTTTAACATTCCAGGGAACAGTATTCCTTTTCACTTGGTTCATTGCCAAATTTTTCTGATTGTCAGAAGTTTTGTGCTAATGGAGAACCAAGAAATGAAAACCCATAAAACAAGTTAGGAGAGTTAGTTGGCTTCATTGGTCCGGGTCATGATTGCATCCTTCTGATGGCACTCACAAAAAGCTTTGGCAAAGAAAGAGCCCTGGTTTCTGCCCCAGCAAAGCAGAAGGAATAATTATAAAAAATTAGGAAAATAAATGATGTTTCCATCATTCTTTCCATTTACTTGTCAGGAAATTCTATAGAATAAGATAATCTTTTATCTTTTGGAAAATAATTTAAGAGAGTCCCTTTAATTGAGGATTATAATGCAAAGAGAATACCCAGTATTAGAAAGAGAAACTATTCTCAAATATATAGAATTTTAATGAAAGGAATGGGAAATATGTAAGTCTGAGTGTGCAACTGGATTCTAAATTATACACAGAACAAGTGAAAGTTGTTTTATTTTCCACTGAGATACAATATAGGAAACAAATTTAAGAACACCCCCCAAATAATCACTTAAATCCTTAAGATTTGCTATCACATTCAGCCAAAAGGTAGATGTTACATTTTCTATTTCATTAGTAAAACAGAGTTTTCCTGTAGATAACTAAATTCTTCTAGGAAGAATGTAGCAAAGTGTTCAGAAATACATAGTTATTTTCTACATGCAGTAATTTCTGGTAGTAAAGGATATTTTTTCCAAAGCTTTTTTTTCCCAGTTGTGCAATAATTGTAACAGTCTAGGGGGTTTATTTTGTTTCTGTTGGGTTTGTTTTTTGTTTGTTTTAGTTTGAGTTTGATTTTTCTTTAGGGAGTTTTGAGTGGTTTTTTTAAAGATAATTTAATGTAGATTTCCTGCTAATGTCCAAAAGACAAATTATTTTTCTTGCGTAATGTAATAAGTGATATACGGATTATTTTATTACTATGTATCAGTAAGTTACACACACTTATTTATATTTAAAGAGCATCTTTGTAAGTAATTGTTTGGTAGCAGGTATGTTTTGCTGCAAGAAATTAAAAATGCATATAGGAAGACCTGGTTTTGCTGCATAATATACAAAAATTTCATAATGCAGGCAGGCAAATATATTTTTTGGCAGCTAGATGCAGTGAGTTTGCTATGGAGAACTGTGTAGAATACGAAGAGTCTAGGTGACTTCTTTGGGACCTGCAGAAATCTCTTCTTTTTTGTTTCTACCTATATTTCAGTTGGGAGTGGTTTAAAAAATAGAAGTCTTCGTTTGCTTTCCCTCTTCTTAGTATAGTGCTTTTTCTTGAGATATTAAATAAGGTGGGTTACGTGATAAAAGAGTGTATAATGATGTAGGCTCAGTTTGTAAGAAGTTCATTGCATAGTTCAGTAGGGTTTGGCAGTGCTGTAATTCAGTGCTACATGGAGATACAAGCAAGCGAGCTTGGAATAAGCTGAGGCACAAGTGTGTGGAAGTAGAAGCATTTTCCTCTGCTCAGACTAATAACACTCTTTTTTCAGCTGGGTTCAGCTGGTTCCAACACAGCCATAGTGCTTCTGACAGGTGAGCTAGTGCTGCACAGAGCTGATGAAGCTGAGCCCTGACATTGGCTGCAGCAGCTTTACCTCTTCAGGATGCTCCATAGGAGACCTATTGGAGCAGGTGTTCCTCCACTCACCCTTCTAAATCTGCTCCTAGAGCAGCATGAAGCTGCTGTGGAGTTTGGCTGCAGCAGCTTTGGGCAGAGAAAGCCTTGATGCCAGTCAGTGGCCATGGTGGCCATTTGAAGTCAGAATCTGCTTTGATGGAGTTGCAAAGGGACGCAACTGAAAGCCCAATTCTTATGAAAAAACAAAGCTGATATCCTCAAAATAGATCTCCTAACAGAGTCTAAAAATTTATCTTTAAAGTCTGGTATGAATTGCACTATGCATGGAGTGGCAAATTTTAGATTGAAACAGTAAGAATAACACATTTCTGCAACATCCTAAGAAACTATGAGAAGGAGGGGGGTGAAAGAGGAGAAAATGAATTATCACATTAATAATTTTGCACTCAGTTCCAGAGGCAGCAGTAACATGTGCTGTGGGCTGCCTGAGTGTCGGTAAATCCTCACAGTTTCATCTCAGTTAGAAAATTTTTCTGTGGTGCAGCCACAAGTAAAACTGTGTTTTTATGAAGATGCATGAGGGTCTACAGGTGTCAGACAAGGATATCTGACTTTGCTTGAGCCTAAACTTTACATAGGTCCAGGCTTTCCTTGATATGTCTTTTTAGTGTCCTCTCAGAAATTCCAAACAGATTTTTGAGCTTGCCTGATGGTTGCCTCAGACAGTTTCAGTGCATTTGCTTTTTGCAGCCTGGCGTGTGTGATCCTGTGTTATCTTGGTGCCATTACCTGTCAGAAACATTTTAATTCCTCATATGAAAAGAGCAGAAAGTGCAAAAACTGATTTGATGGAGAGAAAGGGAGAGAAGACAGAACAAATTTTCACTAGCTTTTAAGAACGTGTTTCCCAGAGCAACTGTCTGGAAATTGCACATTTCTGTAGGACCTGACTGACTCCAGACCACTAAATCTGACTGAAGAGATTAGTAACAGATGAGACACTTGCATGGCATGCTGACAGGGGACCAACTTCCAGCCTCACTACATGGTTACACCAAGATACATAAGAGAGCAGAATCCAATCCAAAATGTATTTTTTACCCATTACTGTGTGATTATAAGGTAAAAATTACTTGTATGACCCGTATATTCACTTAAGAAAATTCTAAAGCATTTTAGCCAACAGCTATGTTGACAGTTCCATATAACCCCTTTGAGGAATGCTAGAAGTAAAATCCTGGCCACAGAGTAGTAGTTCAGATTTTTGACTCTTATTCCCATTTCTAGGATTCCATCACAGGACAGGAGAGCAAGCTGTCTATGTTACTTAGAGACTGGCGTAATGGTTTTCCCATAAGAGAGCAAATCAGCTATACTGCTTACAAAAATGGAAAAATTCTAGTAGACGAAGTTTTCTTGTTTTCAAGTCCCTTCACCTTCAAGGCATAATCCTTCATTAGCAAATACCAATTTAGAGTCCTGCTACCCTTAGGAGTAGTCTGCAGGTAGGCACCACAGGTCCTCTTTGCAGAATTGATATTTACATACACCATTCTCAAAGGAATAAGGTTAATTATTACTAGTGAACAATAGGCTATGTGAATTATTTTGTCTTTGTATTTATCTGTGATTTAATTTTCTTCTTAAAAAATCCCACTGAAATGTTTTAAGATGAAAAGACTCCGCTTTCCCTGTTGCCTGATATCTCTGAAGATGTATCAGGAGTTTGTTTGGGCAGTTTGATTGTTGCTGCATCTAGAAAATTTTTAAGACAAAAGCAATTAACCCTTCAACTTTTGATTTTGCAAATGAATCTATAACAAGAAATTTGTGCTTTAAGGCAAATTGATTGATTGGGAGCACTATGCAAGTGCACAGGTTTGCTGACTGCAGGTTCAAAACAACATGATTTTGTGAGACAAAATTAAATACATGAAAACACCAAATACTTGCCTATCCAGAGTGTTCAATGAAACAATTAGATGGTATGATGCTAAAGCCTCCCAGTCTGTTCTTAATCCTTGCCCTCCAGTTTACAATTTGAAAATATGATCTGAATTCTGAATCCTGACAAATGTTGTTTGTTTTTGAAATGTTTATCTTACTGGCCAAGTAGATGGTTTAAGATATGGATTAAGGTCAAAGTAATAAAGAGAAACATTTTTGAACAGTGTGCAGACACCTGAGTTTCAAGTATTTCACTGGAATAACACAGCTTGTAATTCCTATCTGTGTTGTTTCAAGCAATTTGTTCAGAAATTTTCTTGCTTTCCCTTTGTTACTTTTGTTTGCTTGATACATGTGTTGCCTTAGGTTGCTTTTCACATCCATTTCACTATTTCTGCATTCACTGCTTCTTTTTCTCTTTGTGTGTTGTGTGTTTGCGGAAGGGTGTGTCTGTTCAAGATCTCGTTGTTTATTGTAGATAAAATATGTGGTGTTGTGGAATAGCATGAGGATGCATTTGATTGAAAAGGCACTGTAGTGTTTCCTGGAAAAGAAGGGGAGTTGCATTTGTTTATAAATGCATTATTTTGGTACTGTAACTTTGAACGTGAATTGGGATTTTTTTCTTTATTTTTCTTTTTTTTTTCTTTTTTTTTCTTTTTTTTTTAATTTGATGAGCACAGAGTCATGAGAGTGCATGCATTCTTAACAAGTAAGCCCAGCATGTTTTACTTAAGGCTTTTGAAAATTTGGTACACCAGTTGTCTACTTTACTTACCCAGACAATTTTTTAATTCTATTTTTTTGAATCTCAAGTTTTGGAGTTTTTTTCTCCTCAATATACCATGGTATACTTGGTTTCCATTGTACTTAAAAACTACCCTGATCTGCCTTTTTGTGTCTTGTGTAATAGTTTTTGCAGGAGGTGCCTAGAAAGTATTGTTGGTTTCCCTATAAAAATGTGGTTTGTCCAGATTCTTTACTGTCTACATGATTGAGAGATGGACTGATTGCCCTATTTTTCCTTGATGATTTGGAGTTGTAAGAGTTGTCCAGCTGTTGCTTAATAAAATTTTGCAGACTAGAAAATTCCTGATTTGTTTTTGTTGCATTCTGCATTTTGCCAAGCACCTTAAATACTTCTAAAGCAGATGACAAATCTGTGCTGCAACAACCTGAATAATAATTAGCCAGATGTTGTTATGCTTTCTCTTTTCAATAACTGTGTCCCCAAATTCCACTGAACCTGATGCGTGTACCAGCCCACCATACTTTGAGTCATTCATATGGGAGGATAGATGGCATGGATTTTGTGGTAATGAGGTTCTTATCTGCCTGGATATCAACTGATTCTTATGATATTTCTCCTCTGCTTGCTTTCATTTTTAAGGAAATCACCTTTGGGGTTTTTGGTACTTCTCATTTTGTCATTGATATACTGGAAACCTTACCAAGGGATTCCTCTGTCCGGTCATCTTTAACAAAAGAATAAAATGCTATGATGGCCAGTGTTCATTCTTTGGTTTTTAACAAAAAGTATTCTGGGAGCTGAGGAAACAAACAAACAAATGAAACCTGTCATAAAGTATCTTAACTTGCCTAATAAACATCCCAGCTATGGCACAAATGAGAGAATCCTGGCATCGATCCCCATAATGGACTTCCAAGTTTGCCATTGGAATTGTGCAAGAGTCTGTGATGGATCCTCACCTCTTCACCATACAAGGTTTGCTGATGATATGAAGTTATTCAAAATAGTGAAGCAAGATCAAGAATCTCAGAAAGTCTTTGTGAAACTTGACAATAAAATGGCAGGTGAAACTCAGTGTAGGTAAAAGTGAAGTGATACATGGGTCAAAAAAACAATCCTAACTTCACATTTGCAGTAATGGTCTCTGTAGTGATCTCCACTATTCCAGGGAGACCTTTTGATGGATTGATAGCTAGCTGTCTGAAAACATCAAATTGGTGCTCAGCAGCAGTCAAAAGAGGAAAATAAAATATTGGTAATGAAAAGAAGTGACAGCAAAGCAAAAAAATGCAGAATCACTTTATAAAATTTCAATTCACCACTCTTCACGTACTGTGCAGTACTGGTCCCCTTGTCTCAGAAAAGGTAGAGATCTAGAGAAGATTCACAGAAGCACAACAGAAGGCACAAATCAACTTCTACATGAGGAATTAGTGTGAACTTTAGGACCCTTCACCCTGGAAAAGAGATAGCTAGAGACCCACCAGAATAGGAGTAGTGTTGAAGGGTGGATAGGGATTACTGTTGTCTCTTCCTACAGAAAAACTAGGAACTATAAAATGAAAATAAAGTGAAATACTAGAGGAATGGGAAATCAAACAAAAGGAGGCAGTTCTTCAACAAGCTGACTAGCCAAAGCCACTTTGCCAAAGGATGCTCTGATACAAGGAGTTTACAAGAATTCAAGCAAGACTGGAAAAGGATATGAAAGAGATATCTATTGGGGCATTAAACAAGCTACAACAGGAGCAGAAAGTTCTCTGAGCTGAAAATAGTCAGAGACTGGGAGAGTGTTAGGGGAAGTACCATATGAATTTGCTCTGTTCTCACTCTTCACAAGGAATCTGCAAATGGCTATCGTAGGAGACGAAACACTGAGCTTAACTGGAATCTCACGGTGAACGATTGTCACCATTTGTATACCAGCATTTCTAAACCAAGCTTAAACCTGGAGTTTCAACCTCTGGGAATGAGGAGAAGAGGAAGGACTCCCAACCTAACGTCTGAATGCTTTGCAATGCAACTGTGAAAAGTCCTCTTCTAACTCAGGGAATGAGTACTGGGGGTCTGCCAGCTACAGCACTGGTAATTGATTCAATCACAGTAACTATCTGGCTGCGCTGCTCAAGGGAACTGAGCAAATGCAGTTTGGTTTGTTGTTCTGGAAGATCGGTTTTGGAAGGTCCCTCTCTGCTGGGTGCAACCAGTTAAGTTTAGCACATGCTGTCACTTGTAGTTTGTAAATAAACTTCAAGCCTGTTGCATCATCTTCTCCTCTACATGTCAGAACAGAATTGTGAGTAAAGGAGAACATTGGAGCTCTAACTGGCTCTTGAGAGAGAGGAGGCATAAAAGGAAGCAAACAGATATGGGGAGGTGGCTGGTTTGGGGAGATGACTACTGAAACACACCTGCCTGGAAATGGCAGGGGATGCAAATGCGTAGTTTATCAATTAACAGGGGCTGCAGTAAACAAATTAAAATGTAGATCTTTAGGAAGATATCCTAGAAAGGTTCCTGTAATTGTTTTCTTGCCTTGTAGAGGGACTAATAGCATTTACTTATTCTTTTTTATATATGATTGTGATCTTGTTGATAATAGTACAGTCTTATTTTTTTGATTTGGATGAACACAAGGACTATTTTTGCCCAGCGTTGCCTGGTGTAGACATGTGCAGACACTGAGGGAACAATATTTTAGCAGGGGCTTTTAAAAAAGAAGCAGGGAATACAGCAACTATACATATATTTAGGTTTCTATATATGATTTAATAACTGCTGGCTAGATCATGAACTTTTTCAGGTTATTGCTGTTGGTGTTCTCTCATCAATTACATATTCCATTTTTTTATTGGCATTCCTACCAAAAAAGCTATCAATAATAAAATGGCAATCTTTACTTACTGCTAATTTTTTCAAAAGCATCTCAGCTTTCATTATACAATCTTAATGGGTTAGGGAGTTAGGTAATTACCTCTTGGTGAGGGAGTTGTACAAGATCAGAAAAAAAAAACAACCTGGGGGGGGGTCACCCCCAACTGGGTGATCATACCAATCACGATTCATCTCAAACTTTTTGTCTCGCTCCTATCCATTATAGCTGTCTATTGCATATCCTCATTTTCTGTTCTGTTTAAAACAGAAAAAAATTCAAATCTTTGTGTGATCAAAGGGAAACCTGTTCCTCTGGGGGAATATTTTGCTTTGTTGCATCTCCTGACAGTTTTATTCTTTCCAGCTGTTCCACATTATTTTCTTCCGTTTATCACTTCCCCACAGAAAAGGAGGAAAGTTAGATTTGAACTGCAGAAGTAAAACTTCTTTGTTCTCCTTCCTCATAGCACTCTGTGGTAATAGTCCTCTCTCTTAAAACAAGAGTTTATTTGATCCCTTTGTTGCACGGTTTAGGCGAGATTAATTTCTTCCTTTTCCTTTCAAAGCCATTTAAGTATTTTTAAATTTTTTGTAATCTGAAAGATGTTTATTTTAGAGAAGAGTTTATATGAGGCAGTTATAGCAAAGGGAAGATACTAAAGATGATTTAAACATCAGGGAGTGTTCTTGTTGCCTCACGCAGAGACAGCCAAATGGAGAGTTTGATCTGTAGAAGTCATGTAACTGCGATTTGACTTTTAAGTGGCTTCTCTATCTCATTTATGATGTTTTCTAATGAGGGAAGCAACCTTGTTTTCATCAGATCTATGAACATACCTTAAGATTTTTCTGCTTGAGCTAGTGTGGGAGCTAGTGTAATCTGAGGTGGCAAACATTCATTTTGACAGGCTTTATTTGTATGGCTTAGAGAGCCACTAAAACCAAGATTCCAGTTTTGTTCATAAATCCACTGCTAGTATTCCTATTTATATGATGCTAATAATTTTATCTGCAGTTTAAAAAAATAAAACAGTTTAAAAAAATAAACAGGTTTCAGTAGATTTGTGTCAACAGAACATATCAGCAAGTGTGAAAAGAGGGAAGACCTCTTTCCAAAACCCATAGCATATATATAATTCACACTGTGAAGTTCTGCTATGAACATCAGAAGTCCCAGATGATGATAGAGCATCCCCTCAGGCCATAAACTGAGAGAGCATCATTTGGAGAATTGCCAGAATCCACAATTAGATTCCACTTTTGAAGATTGTGGAAAACTCAAGCAACAGTAAAATGACACAGACTGAGTATCATCAGAATACTGCAGTATGTGCGTCATAAAAAAGTTCTCCAAAGAGCAAGGCCGTAGTAACTGAGAAAGTAGAGGCTTCTTGGAAGTCAGGGAAGCTGTTGCAGGGTGGGGGACCACTAGCATATGAGACAGAAAGTTAAGTAAAGACAAACTCATGAGGAGATGCATAAGTATAAATCACATGTATTCAGATATATCAATGCAAAATCTACAATTAGGGTTATCTGTGCCATCATCACTAGAAACATAGTGGCCACAGAAGCTTTTTTGTTGAAATTTTTACTGTGTGAATATTAAATGTGAAAAGAATCAAAATAAAATGGCAGATGGTGAGAAGACTGAATATTCTGAAGTAGAAAATGTTGCATACTAAGGGCAGTTCACATCCAGTAGGAAAATATCTTTATTTCACAAAATCATAGAATATCCTGAGTTGGAAGGGATCCATCAGGATCATCAAGTCCAGCTCCTGACCCTCTGCAATACACCCCAAGAATCACACCATGTGCTCGAGAGTATTGTCCAAATGCTTCTGTCAGGCTTGGTGCTGTGACTGCTTCCCTGGGGAGCCTGTTCCAGTGCCCAACCACTCTCTTGGTGAAAATCCTTTTCCTGATACCCAACCTAAACCTCTCCTGACCCAGCTTCATGTCTTTTCCTCCAATCCTGTCACTGGTCACGAGAGTGAAGTGATCAGTACCTGCCCTGCCCTTCCCCTCACAAGGAAGACTACAATGAGATCTCCCCTCAGTCTCCTCCAGACTGAATAGGCCAAGTGACCTCAGCTGCTCCTCATACAGCTTTCCCTCAAGGCCTTTCACCATCTTCATAGCCCTCCTTTGGACGCTCTCTAACAGCTTAATATCTTTCTTATATTGCAGTGCCCAAACCTGCACACAATATTCAAGGTGAGGCCACCCAAGTGCAGAGCAGAGTGGGACAATCCCCTCCCTCACCCGGCTGGCGATGCTTTGCCTGATGCCCCCCAGGACACGTTTGGCCCTCCTGGCCCAGGGCACTGCTGACTCATATTCAACTTGTCATCAACCAGGACCTCCAGGTCTCTTTTCATGGCACTGCTTTCCAGCATCTCATTCCCCAGTCTGTACGTACATCCAGGGCTGCCCCACTCTGGGTGCAGAATCCAGCACA